CGTCACTCGCCGCATGCGATGCAGCACAGCGTCGACAGCGTCCCCAGCATGCGGCCCAATGTACGCCTCATGCGCATTGACCAGGCGCGGATAGTCGCGCATCGCCTGGCTCAACCGGGCCGTGCCGCGTGGGGAAGAGACGGGGGCGTAGATGGGCGGTTCGACGGAGTACAGCGCCAGAGGCGAGGTGAGGGAGTGGTAGAGGTGCTCGTAGTGCGTGTGTGCGCGGTCCAGGGGCAGAGGTGCCGGGCGAGGCGGTGGTGGTGCCCGGACGACGAACGGGAGGGTAAGGAGGAGGTAGAGAAGGGCGAGGAGGTGGAGATGAGGCATCTTTACGAGGCTGGCCGATGACGACGGTGGATCGATGTGGCGACATACCACCCGGCAAGAGCAACCTCGGACTTTATAGCCTCGAGAAGACAGCGATGACACACGTCTGCTGACCTTCGTCCGATCCTGACGTTTCTGCCTCGGTCCAGCCTCGCTTTCGTCATGGCCCAAATGAGGTGGTCGCAACCGGTTTGTCGGGCGTCGTGCTTCAATTCTCATATCGGGTTACTAGGTCAGCCCTTATAATCAAGCACACCTTCGTCTGTGGCGGCGCCGGTCGAATGAGCCAAGGTGATTGCGTTGTCAGGAACGGAAAGCCGTTGTAACAGTTGAGGTCAACGAGTGTGTGAAGCGTCCGACTGCTTCGCGTAGTATGCGCTCTCGATAGGCGCAACGGGTGTCAACACGGGTGTGGGCGCTTAAGGCGATCGCGTCTAAGACGGGTGCTCGCCGTGGTAGCCATGAACGCACGAAGGACTGTGTGTCGTCGCAAGGGGCGGACCGAGTTGGCCCCCCTGCCCGTCGTGCACAACTCAAGCAGTGGCTTGAGTTTGTTGGTGTTTTGGACAACATGACGCCCTCAGAGCAGGACGACGGGCGCCATCGAACAACCAGCCCACAATCCCTCTTCTCAGTCCCAGATTCCCCAAGCTTCGCACGCCATGGCTGCACCTTCTGTCCGTCGCCAAGCAGCCCAACACTTCTCTGCAAACGTCAACTCCTCTCCCGCACAACATCACACACGCGAGAGCTTGGAAACGAGTGTAACAAATGCAATGGATACTACAGAAAACAGGGAGTTGTGCAGGTCCGTACGGGAGCGAGAAATGGATTTAAAGGGCCATGAACTTGGACGCGTCGGAGGGGGCGCGGTCGTGGGCGTCAGCGGTGTGCCAAGATCCTTGGGAGGCGGAGGAGAGGTCCTGTGCGTGGCCGCCTCTCGCTGGTCTCGGTGAAAGACTCTGTTGGGACGTCGATTGGGTCATGCCCGACGAGTCGTATCGCGAGGGGGGCGAGGGCGTCTTGAAGCGGTCGTGGTAGCGCGCGGCGGCGGTCTTGGTCGGGGTCGTGGGATTCGACGTCGAGTGATCCGACAGCGGATCTGTCGGTGCTGCTTGGTAGGATCGCGCGCCCGTGTGCGTTGCACCGGACCCGTAGCTCGAATTCGATACGGATCGAGAGCCGGGAGGAGCGTACCCGTTGCCTGCTGCAGCAGGATATGGGTTGACGCCGGTGTCGTACTCGGCGCCAAACTCATCGTCAAAGGCGCGATTGAAGCTGTCCGTCGAGGGCTGCTTCATCAGCATCGGATGCCCTGCACCCAGACCGGCTCGGTTCTGGTTGGGGTCCTCAACACGAATCGCCGGCAAATCGGGTCGTGGCGTCTTGTCAGGATCCACATTGCCGTGGCGGTAGTCTTGGACGGCCTGTGGGCTCATCCCGCCACCACTCATGGGGATCGCTTCCGGATCGTAGAACGACAGACCAGAGACGATGCCGTTGGTGCGGTCATAAGCCGGGTTAGGACTGTAGGGGGAAGGCTGGGGCGACTTCTTCTGACCATAGCCGCCAGCATTGTGTCGGGCGTACTGGTCTTGGTAGTCACCCATGTGCAGCGGATCGGCCGAGGTGTCCGACCTGTCGTCTTCCTCGCCCACAGCCGACAGGTTGAAGCGTTGCTGATGGCGCTGGCGTTCCGTTGATCGTTTGGCGCTGAGGAAGAGATTGTTCTGACCTTCAAGATCGCGATCTTTACCGCCTCCATACGAATCATCCGGGTGCGGGGCAGTCTCGTTATAGATATCGCGCTTCGCCGCGGCAGCGGCTCGTCTTGCTCTCTTTTTATTCTGGTGAGCGATTCCGAGCTGGTCCTTGAGATCGCCGTGCGTCCAGGCCTCGCGTACAATGTCGTGTTCGTTGGGACGGAAGGCACATCGCCAAGCGCGAGCGAAGAAGCGTGGCAACAACGAGACCACCGTGATGAGCAGGATGATGACCCAGAAGTTGACCGTCTGCACCAGCCAAAAGCCGACATCCTGGAAGGTGAAGACGGGGAAGGCCGAATAGACCAGGGTCCATACATAGACGCTAAGCAGCGAGATGATCTCCACCGCCCAAAAGATGCCCGTCCAGTGTTTGGCAATGATACCAGCGTACAGATTGGCTGTTGTCACCGCACCTGCAGCGATGGTAGTACCAAACATGCTGAGACCGTCCATCTCTTGGCCATGGGGCCCGATCATGGGACCGTAAGTGAAGAACCACCACGGAATGAAGTAGCAGACCGCGCCTTGGAAGGCGGCATCGAGCATGCTCATGTAGAACAGGAACTTCGTGTACTCGGCGCCCTTGATGCCTCGTTGATACGTCTGCGGAAACGCCAGTAGCGCTTTGATGTTGACCACCTGGTCGAGAGCGCCGATGACAATGACGCAGAGCGAGCTGAACACGAGGTTGTACAGCAAGATGTAGGTATAGTCGAAGATGTAGGAGCCCGAAAAGTCCGAGTGGATCTGGTAGAAGAAGAGGATCGAGGTCCAGATGATATTCTTGTAGAAGAACACCTTGTGCAGGTCCGAGATACGGTGGTAGCACAACTGACCATGGACCAGCAGCAGTCGAGTCAAGAATCGGAACTGACCGATGGCGTAGTCAGCACTCATCGATGCTTGGGCACCCTCAAGACCGGCGATACCGACACCGCAATGCGCCTCTTGAATCATGGCAACGTCGTTGGCACCGTCGCCGATGGCGAGCGTCATAGCGTTCTTTCCGTCCTTGACCAGCTTGACCGTGAGTGCCTTCTGAGCTGGCGAGACACGACAGCAGACCACCGCTTCACACTGCGTAGTCAGGGCGAGGAAGAGCGGACGCAGGTTTGAGTCGAGCGCATAACGGAGCGTCTCGCCATCGATGACTACGGCGAAGCCATCCTTGGGAGCTTGCTCGGTCCGCTCGACAGTGAGGCGGTTCGAGCGCCCCTTGCCGCCCTTGCGCTTCGGTGGCTCCTCGACCACGACGAGTCTGCCCGCTGCCGCGATCTTGTTGCAGGCTGCCTCCAGCTGAGCTCGCGTGCCTGTCTCGTGATCGGCTGAAATGATCATGATCTCCATGTCCGAAGTCAGCAGGTTGCAGCTGAAGCCAATCTCGATCGCGGTCTGCAACTTGTCGCCCGTGAGAATCCAGAGCTTGATGCCGGCTTTGTGAAGAGTCTCGATCGCCTCGGGCACACCGACCTGCAGCTTGTCTTCGAGTGCGGTGGCACCAAGCAAGGTGAGATTGACCTCGATCTTTTCGTTAGCCTCGTCAATGGCGTCATCGCGGTCAGTGAGACTGGCGCTGGCCTCATCGTGAATACGTGCCCACTCCAAGTACTCCTTCTCTTCCAGGTAGCGGTAGGCGATGCAAAGCGTTCGAAGCCCGGCGTTGGCAAATGCCTCGAGATCGTTGAAGGTCTGTTGCTTAAGCTCTTCGGGATGATCGGCACGGAGTCGCTGGTAGATGACCGAATCGGCACCCTTGGTGATCATGAGGATGCGTCCGTCGGCTTCACGCACAATGACTGACATCCTCTTTCGAGTGCTGTTGAATTCGAGCACCTTGAGCGGCGTGCACTGCTCTGGCTGACCAAGCACCTCGATGTCGACCGTGTTGTTGTTCTTCGCAATGAAGACGGCACCAGCGTCGCGAGCAGCTGCAACGAGGGCGGCCTCGTCCGGCGACTCGGCTTTGTATTCGACCGTGAACGGATCGTTCCCATCCGGTCGATCTGCGAGCGCGGTGTGGCAAAGAGCGAGGGCTCGGAAGAAAGTGACGATATTTTTGCGCTGTGGATCCGAAGCGCCGGCGGCCAGGGTCTCAGCCATTGGCGGCGAGATCAGCGTCATCATGTCGGGCCGCAAATACCTGTTCTTGAAGGCCCGGTTCATGATTTCGACCATGCGCTTCTTGGACGCAGCCAGCTCGACCTCTTGCCTCTCCGCGCTGAATCCAGAGACGTCCTTGCCTTCACGCTTCATGGCGCCGATCATGGCCTCAGTGACTCCTTCGCCGTACGAGACGCCGTTGATCGAGCACTTCTTGAACTCCATGACGTTCTGCGTCAATGTGCCAGTCTTGTCCGAGAAAATGTACTCTATCTGGCCAAGGTCGTCCGAGATGTTCCACGTCTTGGGGACACATGGGTAGTCGAGCGGTGCGTAGTACATCTCGATGTCCTGGTAGATGAAAAAGGCCTGAATCGTCTTGACAATCTCGATCGAGATGTAGAGCGAGATGGGCACGATGTTCTGGAAGACGACCAAGCAAGAGCCAAAGATGACAAGCGCGTTGACGACGTTGCTGGTGCTGATCTCGGCACCCACCTCGTAGTAAGCACGACTGGTGTTAGTGTTGCTGAGACGGAGACCGCCGATGACGGCACAAAGAGCGCAAAGGATCATGAGGATGAGGAAGTTGACAATGACGTTGAAGTTGGTCTCCTGCTCGATCTTGGAGCGCTTGGACGGTGTCTCGCCCGAGTTGAGCATGATCTTGGTGTCTTCTCCCGTGAAGAGGACGACGCCGATGATCCACTCGGTGTTTCGCAGAGCACACCCTCGCAGCAGGACCTCGTTGATGGTGATGGGTTCGACGCGTCGCGTGCGAGCTTCCATGGCTGCATAGGCGCTGCTGTCAGGCGGCAACGACTCGAGCGTGTCGACAAAGTTTCCCTCCTTGCTAGGCTCGTTGACAGTGTACTCGAGCAGACCGTTGTAGCTGTACAGGTTGGCGTGCGGTGCTTCGCTGTCGATGACAAAGCGAGCGTGCTCGACGTCTTCCTCGGACTGGATGCCCATGGTAGCCTTGAGCGACTTGCGTACCTTGAGATTCGTCTCTCCGTCGAGGTTCTTGGTCTCGACATACGCATTGCCGTCCGGATCGGAGGAGTTGAGAACGACAATGTCGGCGGGGACCTGCTCGTCCTCGCGCAGCATGACAATGTCGCCCACTTCGAGCTTCTTCCAGAGAGTTCGCTCCCATCGCGCCGAGCCAGGTGTATGCCTTCGGTAGTCGACGACGCCCTCGACATTGCTGCTGTTGGTGGCTGCGCTGGGAGCCGACTGTTTATGGGTCGCCTGGAGTGGCTGATGTACCGAGACGCTGCTGGCGTTTGCATCGGCATAGCTTGCAGATTGGTTGTAACCCGAGCCGTAAAAGCTGCCATTTTCTCGTTCACCTTCGCTGACGATGGTGCCCAGCGCGTGAGAGCTGACGAGGCTGTCGCTGCGAAGACTTCGGGTGTTGGGTCGGGCGTCAAGCTGCTCATCGTTGGCTCGCCGCGAGCTGCTGTTGACTTGGCGCAGGCCGATCGCGTCCTCCTTTTCTCGCAGCTTGCGCACACCTTTTGAGACTTTGCCATGCCCCCTTCCAGAGAGACCAAAGAGCTTCTGATACCATGATCGCTGGTCCTTGGCCTGGTTGAGGTTCCGCCAGCTTCCGAGACGGGTGACTGCAGAGTTGTTGACTTCGTTGTCGAGAGCATGTCGGCGATGGTCCTCTATCGAGTCCTTGATGGCAGTGATGGTGAGAATGGCGACAAGCGGCAGCATGGCAATCTGTGGGATGGTGGCGCCAAAGGTAGGGAAGACTTGAAGAACCACGAGACCGAGGAAGTAGATGTTGGCCACTCGACGAAACTGCTCGAAGAGGAACCTAGGAAGGAAGGTGGCGATGGTGTACTTGGAGGTGCGAACCTTGTTTCGCGGATAGACAGCGGCTGGCTCGCCGTTCTTGCCAAGCTCGGAGTGGGGTGGCGGTACATTGACATAGACATTTCTGCGCTTCTTTGGCTTCATCTTTCGCATGGTCGGACCAGCAGGCTGCGAATCGGGAGCCGGTGGTGTCGGCTCCTTTTCGTCCTCCTCCTCTTCAGCGATGGCAGTGGTGGGTACCAAGCCTTGCTGAGCAGTAGCAAATGCAGCGTCCTGGTCCTGATCATAGTGGTAACCGGCAGGCCCGTCGGAGCGTCGCTTCTTGGCTTCTTCGTTGACCAGCTGGGCCAGAGTGGAGTTCTTGTGTTGCTGTTTGCGGAGTGTTCGACCACGGAAGAGCTTGTGGGAGAGGCTGTGGGTGCGTTTAGCTTTGTTGCGGTCATCTCTGCGTTGCTCTGAGCGATGCGATTCAGCGATGGATGCAGCAGCTGTCCTGACGGTCTTGAGTTGGAGGTTAGGATCGACCATGGGGTCGTAGTCGGGATGTGTTGGGTCGGTGACATAGGATTGATCGGTCGGCCCGTGCTGATATGGTCGGAGTTGGTTCGGATCATAGTGATGACCATCTTGGCCGAGGCCACCTGCACGACCGAAAGCCATGTTGGACGGACTGGACCAGGGCGAGGATCGAGCCAAATTCGAGTGCCGAGCAAGATTGATTCCGGTCGGCGATGCGAGGAGACAGGACTAGGAGAGCATGCAGATGAGGTGCCGTAAAGGAGCAGAGAAAAAGAGCAGGCGATATGGTGATGCTGTCAAGGTGAGATCATGTGTCGACGCAGACAGAGCCAGCTGCGTGCGGAAGTGAAAATGTAGAGCCCAGAAGCAACGGTGTCAAAGATTGTCGGAGCGGCACGGTCGAGGAGGATGCTTGCGAAGGCCGATGTGGTGGAAGGAGATGCGATGCAGAGCAAGGTGGTCAAGGTATGCGATGATGTAGCTGGAAAGGAAGGACCGGGTCGTGTCGTGCGGCACTGAGGATTGCTGTTGTGCGAGACGTGTATGTACGAAGAGATCGGAGCCGGATTGAATGGAGGTGGGGCTAGTGACGAGGACGATGATGATGCGATGGTGATGATGAGGGAATGACGAGATGAAGTGTGAGTGGGAAGCGGATCGAGCAGGAAGCGGATCAGGGGCAGTCGAGGCAGAGCCAAGAGAAATGTCAATCAAGTGTGGCTCCGAGGCGGGAAAGAAGAAGGGTCCTCGTGCTGTCACACGGTCACAGTCGGATCAGGCACCAGCCACAGCCCTTCTTGCGAGACCACTTTACACCACGCAGCGACGCATGTCACATGCATACGGTACCAGAACACTCTACGATATGCTTTCGCTTTGGCCGATGACGGCTGTGAGGAGCGCTGTCTGCCTTCGAGATTTATCGGGATTCTGCTCGCCTCGAAGGTTACGCTCAGAACATCGGCGTGGCCGAGACTATAAGTAAGCTCACCCACGGTTCGGCTTCTCCGACTGGAGAGACTCGTCGGAGGCATCCGCACTCAACTCAGTGGCGTCATGACCAAGTTCAGGTGACAATGAGCGCCCTCCTGTATGCACGAGACTCGTCGGAAGGATTCCAGCTTGACCACCCTTCTTCGGGAGAGACGAGCAAGCCAACACCACCACCAAAAAGTTTCTCTCCCAGTCTAAGCGAGCTGCCGCTGCGTGCTGTGCACAGGGGGGCAGGTGCTCTGTTCGGTCCAAGCGCGTGCGTGCCTGTGTGTGTCTCGGAAAAGGGTCCAAGCTCTCTTTTTGTCTTTTCCTTTTCCCCTGCAGCTGAGCCAGCGAAGAACACGCTGCCGTGAGTCGCGCTCTGAGACGCGCCGTGCTCTTACGCCGACCGACGTGCAGCAAGAGGGAGAAATTGGTTTTCTTCTCAGCTGGCCGGCCCTCGAAAATTTTGGACAGCACAGCATCCACCACAGCACAGCATCGTTGGCGGTTCATCATGGCAATGCACTTTGTCGATGCCGAATCTGTCGTGCCTCTGACGCAAACAAAATCGATGCGGCATCGGAGCATCTGATATTTCAGACAGAGAGGAGTCAGGGGGTGGTGTTGACTTTGAAAGCAGCGATCTCCTAGTCAGGTGGTCTTGGCATTCGGCACAGAAGATCCCAGACTTCGATGCACGGACCCTGACGCTCGCCTGCAGTCCGCCTAGCCTTCTCACACCCCGCCTCGCATTCGTTTCCATAGCAAAGCAACGGTGGGCTCCATTCGTGCTTCGTCTTGCTGCTTGCTTCAGGAACGCTGCGTGCTCGCACCGGACATGGCGACGAGAATGGCAGCATGTGTGTCCGTTTTGGAGGTGACGCAGCCAGTCTGCAATATCACACCGAGCCTGCACGCAGGACCATGCGGAAGATTGGCTCCGAACGTCTCTCTTGCTGATGCTTGTCCAAAGGCAACCACCTCCGCGGGATGCAATGGCTTGCCGAGTCGTGGGATTTTCTTTCCATCTGGCTGCTCCGCTTCCCACGCCGCCCTCTTCCTTCAATCGGAGCCACACCGCCGTCGTCCGTGATAGGCTTCTCAGAATCAGCGCCAGTCCGTGAGTCATGGCCCGGCAAGTGCTGTCTACCCCGATCCAATCACGCTGTCCCGATGCGCGTCTGAAAGCACTGGATACTCTCACAGACACAGCTCAACAAGGCTTTGATGGTCTCCCAAACAGTCGTGAGCACACTGAGATCGCCATCACGGTATGTACAGCAACACTTGGGCATGACCCCTTACTTCTGATGGATGTTCTGCTCGTGGTTCCTGAACTCCTTGGCATACGTCATGAACGTGTCCGAAGCGCCCAGCGAGATGTGCAGCGCCCTCACCACCCAAGCCGGCAGCATCTTGTTGTAGCTCATCACGTACATGGCCCTTGGGATGTAGACGATCCTGCTCTTGTCTCCCTCGAGGATCTCGATGATCTTTTCGGCGGCTTCGGGGATCGTCAAAGTAGGCAGGAGAACTTGGTCGTGCGTGTCCAGCATCCTGCCTTCGGTCATCTTGGACTCGATCTTGAGCGGGCAGATGATCGAGCTTCGGACGTTGTTCACCTTGTGGTAGGCGTGGAGCTCGGACGAGAGCGACGAGTGCAGCGACACCGTTGCTGCCTTGGACGCGTTGTACGCTGCGTTGGCCGGAAGCTCGATGTACGCAGCACCACTGCCGATGATGAGGATGTGTCCACCCCAGCCGTTCTTGGCCTGCTTGTACGGTCGGTCTTTGACGCCACCGTCGGGCAGCATGTGCTCGCCAAACGCCTTGAGTGTGGCCATGATGCCGTGGAAGTTGACCTCCGACACTTGCTTAGCGTGCTCGTGCGGGAACTGCTCCTCCGTGTCGAGCAGGAACGAGTGTCGTGCGATGCCCGCGCCCAGCAGCAGCATCGTGGCATATCCAAGCTTGTCCTCCACCTGTTTCTTGGCGTTGAGCAGCGACTTGATGTCCGTAACGTCGGTCTGCACGTACAGCGTCTCCAGCCCGTGCTCCGACTTCTCGGGCAAATCGAGCACCACCACCTTGGCCCCCTTCTGTCGAAGAACCTTGCACACGTGCCCACCAATGCCTCGGGCACCTCCGGTGATGACCACCACATGCTCGTGCCATCGAATGTTGCGAGGCGACTCGCGATCCATCACCAGCCGGTTGCCAATCGCATTGATCGTCTTGAGGATTCGAAGGACCAGGTACCATTTCGCCAGACGGTTCGCACTGTTGCTCCAACCCGCGGCAAGGTCAGCCCCGAGCGAAGAGAGCTTTTCGCGACCACTCAAATCTTTCCTGTCCCTCAAGAAGCGGAGGTTGTCCAGGCCACCTGCGATCCTCACGAGGGACAGGATCGTCGCGATAGTCGACAGCGTCTTGGAGTGGAACAGCGGACGAAAGAGGCCATTGATGATCACATCGATCGTGAAGGCGTTCGGTTTGGTCCTGTGGTTGATGGTTCGCTTCAGCGCATCGTTCAACGGCGCCACCACCGACGAGGCAGGGTTGGACATGTTTGCGTTTCGGAGGGAGATTTGGACAATGATGGGAGATGATGGAAGTGTTCCTGAGAGAGGAAGCACCGTCCTACCCCGCAATTTGTGCATCGGTCGGCGGCGGTAACTTGTTACCGTCCCTGTTTCACGCGCTTCGCCCAAGTTGCGACGAAAAGAAAGATAAAAAAATGATTTTCCGCCCTTTTCTCGCGGCTATCCAAGAGTGCGGCCTCAGCCTCTGAGCAGCTTCTCAGACCTTCTCATGCATTGACGGCATACAGCAGTCTAGCTTATGAGCTACAGAGCTGCATTCGATGAAGAGGATCGAAAGTACGGGGGAGGAAGGGACCGACGAAGTCATCTATATATACGTGTGTGAACAGCCGCTCGCCGCAGCTAACTGGTGAGGTTGTAACTCCGCCATATTGTCCTGACTCACAGCCCATTGTTGTACGTGCAAACTTCAACCTAGCAGTCGTCGCCAATCAGCTCACACTGCATGTAGTGGAGTGAAGAGGATGACATTGGAGAGGGAAAGGGAATAATGAAGCCACGACAAGAGACCCGAGACAGCGTAAGACTGTGCGGATGATAGTGGAAGCAGGAACGCTGCGACTAGCGCAAGTCATCAGATGCTTCCGTCGACAAGTTCTTCATTTAGACTCGTCCTGCTCAGCCTTCTCAAGGCCCACGTTCTCTTTATTGATGTCCTCGGCGGTCAAGAACTTGCCGGCGCCCGCCACGCAAGTGTGGGGGTCGTAAGAGCACGACCAGCCTCCCCTAGCGTATCAAAGGAATTTAAAGTGTCAGAAGGGCCTGTAATCGATCCTTGGAGATTTGCGTTTCCGTTTCAACTTACTTCCACTGGCAGCAGCCGGCACCGGGAGGACAGGTGCATTTGGCCATGATGAGCGTTGCCATGAACAGGACGGACGAGAGCATCGTGATGGCGACGGAAAACTTCATGTTTGCGATGATCAGATTGTTTGGATAGCAAGTGATGTTATGTGAGAGGTTTGGAAGATGGTGAGACAGACGAGACAGTCAAGAAACATTTCGTGCTGCTTATATGCTTTCGTCGCCGAGCAGCTCTTCCTGCCACCTCACTCCAGGAGACATTGCTAATCGATCTCTGGCATCGTAGCAGCTCTGCTGCTCAGCGTGCTGGAGAACTGCTACGATGGTGGGACAACGTGTAAGGTACTGGTAGCGGAAATATGACGTTCTCACAGTCGCTCTTGTTTTCACCGACCCACGCCAAGACAACAAAAGTCTGGTGAAGAGCAGTGGGCCTAGTGCTCAGCCATACTACACATCCAATCGAGCCTCGTCTGTTCTCGAGGCGTGAGAAATGCCGACGAAGACAACATCCTTTCGCCCACGACTGATCTCACGACTGACTGCGAGGGACTCTGACCTTTTCGCACGCCAACGCCCGCCACCGTCCTGCTGCTCTCTTTCCCGCTGAGAGGCGTGGAAATCCTTTCACATATATGAGCTGCACCATCAGCTTCACTTTCCACCATGCGTAATCACGCTTCGCGTATGATTTCATGTCAACACTTGCGGCCCAGTTACCACGCCACGTGTGCACCTTGACGTGGTCCGACCAGCTCATTGTGATTCACTCCCACGTCCTTCGGACATGGTTTCCCACTGCCGGTGAGCAGGTGCTGTTGCCAAGACAACGTCGATCCCACCGCGGAGGCTGCATCGCATGAGACGCATCTTATTAGGCCCACAGAGGTGGCGGCAAATTTGGCTGCATGTCCACATGAAGCGACAGAGAGAGCTTCAGTGTCGGTTTGTTCCCGCCAACCGCTGCGATCCTGGTCTGTAGGAGGAACCACGGAGAGCTGCCTTTTGACCACTCTCTGACGGCGCGGCTGCTGACGTAGTGAGACCTTTCAAAGATCGAGCAAGGAGGATGCTCTGACGAAGCCAATACGCTGCCAAGGCGGACTGGAACGGAGATGCTGGTGTCCAGACGTATAAATCAGCAGCGATTGGACGACTGGAATCCTCTTCTCTCTCCTCATCTTCCCCAAGATACTGCTCACTTGCCTCGCACATCCCCATCGCTATTCACCATGAAGTTCTCTGCCACCATCATGACCTTCTGCTGCTTCCTGCTTGTGGCTACGTCCATGACGATAGCCTGCGACTGTGGGCCTGGTCAATACTGCTGCACCCGCCAGTAAGTTGAATTTGGACACGATTCCCGAGGGAGAAGAACGATGCATGCTGATTGCGACCCTTCGATTTCCCGATGCAGCGGTGCCGGATTCCCTCGGTGCACTTACGACCCCAACGAATGCCGTCGCGCAGTCGAGGACGAGCCCGCCGCCGTTGACAGAGCTTCCGCCTAGAACGCGCTTCGACGTTGAGGGAGGATCTCCTCCATCTCCACAAGAACGACTCGTCGCCTCGGCCTCGGATTCTCGGCGTGTCGTCACGTCGTTACCTGACCAATCATCCGCTCGCTCCATGTTCGACCCCTCACTGCGCTGCGACCCTCGAGTTTAGACTTCGCTATGCTTTGCTCTTGATTCATATCCGCTGCAATGAAAAGGGTCATATCCCACACTACCGCACAGTAGACTGACATTGAGCTCACAGCATCTACCAAAATCAACATATGTCGACGCAGGACTCAGATGCCTCGCCCATCATCCTCATGAGGCTTGGGAGTCCAAGCCACATCTCTAGACGTCAGCGTGACGTCGATCCACTTTCCACAAAGACGCTTCCCGGTCTCCCTGTAATGCAGGGTATCGACATCCCTTTCACTCGCGTGTCCGACACTGGCATAGATGCGACGGGAATCAGTGCCGCTGAGATGGATCTTGTAGCAACCCGTATCCTTTTCGTAGGCGTAGTAGCGCAGCTTGGCGCCAGAGAAGCCTTTGAAGTCCACGACAAACTCGTCGGTGGGGTCCATCACGGTGAAGGCTAAGATTGCAAGCCAGTCAGAAGTCCGTTGGCAGCAGCCGAGCAAAAGTAGGAAGAATCACTTACTGACGGCTCGCTCGTCTTCGAGCAGGATTCGATCTTCCATCCGCAACGGTGCCGACCAGGGCTCAACCTTGACCCTCGTCATGCTCATTCCGCCATGCACCGAAAAGCACGGCCCCTTGGCATCAGGGGACAACCCACATCGCCGGTCGAACTCGGTCTGGTTGATGGACAGAGAGGTGAGGTCGCAGTATCGAGTGTCGAAATAACCGCCTGATATGTAAGGGTTGGCGTGCGGGATGAAGCCTTGTGCGCCAGATCCGCCACCTCGTCCCGTGGAAGGAGTACTGGGAGGCGCTTCCTCGACTGGCGGCGAGACGGGTTCCACCTCGACAACGCAGCTGGTCAAAGCGACGAGGTGAAGGAGCAGCAGGAGGATGCAGGCGAAAGAGCCCACAGGCCGGTAGTGTCTCGTCATTCTGCTGGTCATGGAGTTAAACAGGTGGATCTCTTCTGCCGATCCCTGAAAGGAGGAGGAAGGATGAGCCGGAATCGTCAACGTGGAGCCAGAGACGGCTCAATAAGACACGGCCACTCAGTCATTTATACTTTCGAGATCTCACCGTATCCACAGCAGACCCTCGTTCGCTTACCCGTGGAGCAGGACATGCGGGCTCAATTCAATGAATTGTTGCGATCGATCGATCAAAGGGCGGGCACGATGAGTCCGTTGCGTTCAATCTGGTGGCGACGTCAGGTGCCCACCCTGTTGCTCGCGATACCGTACCACGTCAAGGGACGGCATCGCTTCATTTTGTGCGCATGTTGTCTAGTATCGATTGTGCGCCACAGCTTGCCTTTCACTTCTTGGCGGCGAGCCAGACCTCGGTACTGCCCAACCGATTGAATTTTGCGAGATGAATCTGCATCATGATGCTGGTCCTCAAAGCTCCTCGAGCACAACACCCTCCACGGTAATAAGCAGCTTGTCCGTGCAGAACCGCTTTCCCGTCTCCTCGTGGTTGAGCGTATCGAGCTCCCTCTCGCCCGGCTTCTGACCAACGCTGAGCCTGTGCTTCGACTTCCATCTGCTGAGCGTGACATTGTAGCACCCATCGGCAGCATCATAATTCATATACCGAAAACGTAGCGCGCTGTCGACGTCAAAGGTGATCGTGAAGGCAACGGAGGGATCTCGCATCGTAAAGGCTGTACATACAACAATATCAACTTGGTCAAAATCTGGTCTTCTCCAGGGAGAGGGACGGGGGCTGACGTACAATGAGCAATGCTGTCCGCAACAATCACGTGCTCGGTCATGTTGAGGGGCTCGTGCCATGGCTCGACGATCTTGGCCTGCATGGTGGTTCCGACGAGCTCGAAGCAGGGACCCTTGCCTTCGTTACAGCGGGACGTGTACGCATCGGAATCGATGATCAGTGGCGTGGGTTCGAGACAGGGTTTGGCGTAGCTTTGCTCGAGCAGCCCGGCGGAAGGGGAACGCTGGAGGTCGGGTGTCAGCTGAGGTCCTATACCGTCGTGCGGAGGAAGTCTTGCAGCCTGCGAAGGAGGTAGGAGGCAGACCACGATGGAGAAGAGAGTCGCCGTCAATCGAAGGAAGATGGTCTTCATCGTCGCTGCAGCTGTACTGGTGGCTCCTTCAAGTGTTCCTTGGAAAAGAGAGATAGGGAAGCGGGAGCGGGGAGGGAGGACAACGAAGCAAAGATGTTGCCAGAAGAACACCTATGATTGTGTCTTTGCCAATGTTTGCTCTTCGCCAAACAGAAAGGAATGTTGCCAAGGGGCTGAAACCCTGCAGATCAATGGGAAGATCGCTTCATCTCGCATCGTTGCTGTGTTTGCGTTGTTGGTGGGCTTCGGTCAGGGGAGGTGAGCGATCGTTCTGTTGGCCTACGTCTCCCGATTTGCAGACTCTGCCGGGCCGAGATACTCGAGAGTCGGTGATCTGTGTCAAAGCAAGCCATGGTGGGGCCTCATTTGCGCATAAGACGACGTCGGAGGGGCAAGAGTCGTTTGTTACGCTCGAGCGGCATATCTCATATCTGTGACAGTGGGAGAGTGCTCTCATTCCAAGCCACGACATCTCTGGTCGACCCTCGATTGTTATCACTTACTTTCATTGAGCACGCCTATCGACCTTCAAAAGGGAGCGCCGACATTCTACGCCCCCCTGTCTCCTACTCTCTCACCATCTGAAATGCTAGCCCGCATCATGCCTTGCCTTCCTAGCATCTCGGCCTCACTCCTGCTGCTCATTGGCCTGACGGCCATTCGCACGCACGCATGGCAGCCCATGGGCACTGAGCCCGGCTGTCCTGCCTATAGCACGCTCCTCCCGCGCAATGCCGAATATCGCAAGCACTGCGAAGGACCCGATTCCGACCCGCACTGGCCCTGTTTCACGCTCTGGTATGGCGATTTGGGCAGCGTCACCGCCATCCTACCCGGCGGCGACACTGTCCCGGACGACCACTTTCTCCTCAAAGATGGGAACAAGATCGGTAAGTCCTTGCCCCTTCCCGTCACTCTCTGGAAGAAGTAGACGCGAGCTGACAGACCCCCCGGTGTGGACACAGACTTTACGACTCGTGATCCGAAACAGCCCTTCACGCTGAGCTGGCTGTTCGACGACGTCGAGCTAGCCTACGACAACTTTGACGCGGGCAGCGGGTGCTATCGCATCACCCTCCGACATCAGAGCCACAGCCGTCGTCGCATCTGGGTCTCGGACGAGCACGGTAAGGACAGAGACATCGACACAGACCATCATGGCGAGACGAGCAAGACGCTCTGCGACAAGTGGGTGCATGTGCACGTCAAGGAGGATGGGGGGACCTAAATGGTTGGCTTGGAGTGTGTCTAATGCATTGGCTCTGCGTTCCTCGCCTACTGGTGTGAGGTGTCATGTCACGGTGCAGCAGCTAGCGTGTTTGCCTGATGTACCAGACTTGCGGTCAATCTCACCTTGCATCCCCTTCTCTTCGAGTGCCGCATAAGCAGATGTGGAATGTGCCTTCTCCACCCGCATCTCCGCTTCCACCGGCGTCGCCTCTCGGTCAACCTTCTCCGGCGACATCGCCCGCCCCGCCATGGTGAGACAGCAATCCGGAAACCCCCCGCCCTTCCTCCATCCCCTCCCCTCAGCATCAGCGCCAATCATCTCAGCAACCACCTTCGCACAGCCCCACGCTCTAGTCATACCATGACCGCTGTACCCCGCCGCGAGGTACTCTTTCCCTCTCCGTCCGTCCACCGGTCCCACGAGTGGATCTTTGCTCTTCGTATACCCCATGATGCCCGTCCATTCTCTCTCTACGTCCTCGCCGTACGAGGTCGGGAAAGTCTTGGCCAACCACGGATGTAAAAAGTCCGACACCTCGTGGTTGAGCTTTGAATCGTCGGCTACGCCCCATTCGCGTCCGGTAGCGTGCTCCCGACCGCCACCGAAGATGTACAGCCCAGACTTGGAGGCGGGACGGGCATGGCCATATTCATACCCTCCACCGGCGCTCAGTCCCATGCCCCATCTCGCCCCACTTTTGGGCGGGACAGCGACGACCTGCGCGCGAGTGGGGATGATCGTCCCGCTCAACTCGGGCAGCAGGTGCGAAGCGTACCCGTTGGTGGCGTGCACGACGTACCTCGCCTCGATCTCGCCTTTCGCAGTCGATAGAATCGTTCCTGTGACCGAGGCTCTGGTTTGGAGCACCGGAAGGTGCGTTACGAGGTTCAACGCGATCCCTTTCTCCCTGGCTAGCCGTTGTGCTCGCTTGAACATGACAATGACCAACAAACGAGGGTGCAGCGTGGCCCCTGGTATCTCGTACACCGCAACCACCCCTGCTGGCCGGTTCATGCGTCGATCCACCTCGTCTGTCGGCACGCGCCGCACCTGGTTGACGAACCTGCCCAGCCCCGCATGCTCACCCGCTTGCCCGAGCGAGTGCTCGAAAGCCTCCACCTCGGCGTGCGAGAAGCACAGGTGCCAGTTGGACTCGTCTGTGAACCCAACCACCTTGTCGGCTTGCTCGGCGACGATGAGAGCGCGAATGGCTGCAGCTGTATCCGACTCGAATTGCAGGATCTGTTCTACCACCGCAGCGGTGGATGTTTTGACCTCGTCGTCGGTTAGACTAGACGCGACTTTCCCGAGCAGGTGATTTGGATTGGCAGCAAGATCCGTGTATGCGAGAGCTGAGACAGCTGTGAGATGACCACCGTTTCGGCCCGTAGCACCGGTGCAGAAGCCGCGCGCCTCGATCAGCGTGATCGACGAGATGGACGATGGCGCTGCTTCGACAAGATGAAGCGCTGTGGAGACGCCAGTAATGCCCGCCCCGATGATGACCACGTCCGAGTGACTGGGAAGTGTCTCGAGCGAGGACGGAAGCTGGTCTTCAGACGTGCTGGCCATCCAGTAGCTCACAGTGGCCTTGTCGGAGGACGAAGGAAGAGGAGATGGTGTATGCGCTACATTGTCGATACCGATGGTCGAGATGTCGACGTACTCTTGCTCGTTCAGGGGCATTGGTGCGAGGCGAATGCTGAATGTGAGCTCTCGAGAGCGGCTCGCAGTGATGGTCAGGGCAAGATAAGCTCCGGCCTGTCAGATGTCATGTTTCAGGGTCCAAGCATGGCTTGCAGAGCCGGTTTGGATGCCGCTGCCAACCGGCCGAGAGCTGCCCGAGCTGGAGGGCCGTGCTTTCCTCTCTCCCTCATTATGCGACGATGCAAGCATTCATACTTCATCTCAGGGCAAAGCTCTGATACTAGCACCATGTATCGGTTCTCCACGATCTCTCTGGCGTTGTTGCGCCGCGAAGGCGTTACCCGTGAGGAGGGAAGCGTTGGTCAGTGCCCGAAACCCCTGAAAGGAACGCGCGAGAGACTCCCTTCCGGCAAGCTGGCGCGCCGGTCAGCCGAGCCGCAACATAATTCCGCATTTCACGCTCCCATCTTGCTTCCTTCCCTACCCCACACTCACTAGATGTTTCGCCCCCTCCTCTCCCTTCGACCACTTGGCGCAACCACCATCCGAGCAACCATCCTCGCCCGAGCATCGCAACTTCGACGACAGTCGACCGTCTCCAAGCCGTTTGTCCTATTCGATCCCGCTCGCGTACCCCGCTACCACCCCGATAAGCCGTCCGCAGCGATGAAGTCGTACACGCAGCACTTTCCCTCCGAATCCGCGCCCCTCGTTCGACTGGACTTCAACGGCGACACCCGCATCTGGGTGCTAACCTTCCTTGGCAAGGAAACGCCTGACAATCGGCTCACGCACAAGTTCATTGCGGAAGGTCTGCTTCTCGCCCTCTCCCACGTCGAACAACGATGGGCGGAGATGCTCAACTCGGGCGAATCCGACCAGGGAGCAGCACTCATCTCTACCGGTGGCACCGATGCCTCTGCCAAGATCTACTCCAACGGCCTCGATTTCGAAAAAGCCATCGAGGACCCAAGCTTCTTTGATACGCATCTCAACAATCTCTATGAGAAACTCCTCACTTTCCCCATCCCGACGATCGCCGCGTTGAACGGACACGCCTTTGCGGCGGGATTCGGTCTGGCTTGCGCCCACGATTATCGGGTGATGAACGGGAAGCGCGGCTACCTGTGCATGAACGAGATCGATTTCGGTGCTCCCTTGCCGCATGGACTGCAACAGGCGCTGGCGAGCAAGATCGCCGATCAGCGGACCATGAGGAAGATCGTTCTCGAAGGTCATCGTTTCAGCGCCAAAGAGGCGTTTGATGAGGGCTTTGTAGATGTCCTCTCCGACAGCCCCCAGGATACCTTGGACAAAGCAACAGAGTTGGCAGGGAAGTTGAAGATCAAAGCAAAGATGAACGCTTGGGGCGCCAACAAGGAGGTGGTGTATGCCCAGGCGATCAAGGTGTGCAGGACCAAGCACGATGTTGCTACCGAGGCGCTCTATGCCCCTCGCGCCAAGTACTAGGTTTCGCTCGTGATAATGTCATGTCGTTCTTCGTTCAGACCAGATCCATGTGCTGTGTGAATGAGATTGAAGAGATGTGTGAGTCACATGTGACATGCGAGACCGCTATCTTGCGTCGAACCGCTCCAGAGCGCTCCGAGGTCTCGGTTGAACAGGTAGTGTCCCAACCCCGCGCCTGTCGTTCGCAAAAGGCAAGCCTTGTCAGCAATCATATCAGTTTCCCTCGTCGATGTGATGGGATGCTTACCAACGATGATTGCGCCAATGACCCAGCCATTGAACGTCATGCTGATCAGCATCAGTCCGAAACTCATGCCGACGCTCGTTGCGTACAACACCGATCTCCAGATTTGGGTTCTTCTTCTTGTCTCCAGTGGTTTGACCCAGCTTGGTCTTGCTCCCTCGCGTCTTGGTTTCGGCCCGTTGCCCGTGCGTCTCTCCCCAATGCCACTGCCAGCACGGCCCGCAGTGGTCGGTAGTACCGACGCGCGCCGTCGATGGCTTCCCACCCCAGACGAAGAAGAACGCGCCAGCCTCGCATCCAACCGTCGAATGTACAACCGCAGATACTCGTACGCCACTGCGGACAAGGAGATGATTAAAAGGGAGAGATAGAGCGAGAGAGGCGTGGTGATGCGCCAGGACGAGGTGAGGATGCAAATGTTGGTGGTGGCCCAGTTCCAGGTCATGGACATGTTGCAGCTGTCGTGCGACATGCCGCCGTGGTCCATGCCTCCGTGAGGCATCCCGCCGTGATCCATGCCGCCATGGTTCATCGTCTCGATGGCTCTGCTGGGTTTGTCGTCTAGCTCGTCCGGCGAGTTGTCGCTGTGCTTGGGTGAAGATCGATGCGATGTCCCGCAATGCGCTCTGCGCCTGTATCGAAGCTACCGTTTGTCAGCTAGCGCGCAAGTCGTGGTGGTGTTGCCGTCGAGATGCAGTCGAAAGATGGTGGTCGATCGTCAAAGGGTTCGATCTCAGAATTGGCCGAAGCCCCAAAAGAAAGCTCACCGACGATCAGACCTGCTGGCGTGCATATTTCAAAATTTAGACCGGCCCGGCCATTACGAAACACCGCCCACACTTCGACCCCCGCACCCGCATGCTCCCACCATCACAGACGCACCCCGCATGTCCACACCCACACACAGACGCACACAATGACGATACAGCATAGATAAAGAGCTTCACATTAGACAGCTCCGGTTGGGCGGAGCGCTTAGCAAAAGTAAATAGCATACCTCTCCGCCGGCACCTGGCTGATTGGCGGGTAGGAAGGGTCAGGCTTGACCGTAATCTCAAAGACATTGATCCCGCGTTTGGGCAGCAGGCGCACTTTGCAGTACGAGTAGCCGATCGAGGTGGCGATCTCCTCGTCGTCCTCGTCGCCGAGAAGGGCTGGGTCGATGAAGGAGTCGGCGGCGGTCCAGCTGGCGTGTGTGTGTTTGCCGTTGAACGAGAGTTCTGGTTGCCACGGCCAGGTCAGGGAGTCGCTGTCGGCGTCGCTTATGCCGTTGACAGCAGCATCTGTAGGCTTTGCAGACGACTCACGACCATCACCGTTGGCTTTGGCAGGAGCAGCATCTTCCATCGACACATCGCCGTCCGCAGGCGCACCCTCCACCACTTCGCTCTTGGCAACCTTCGGCTTCTGCTTCTTGTTGAGCATGCGGAGCGGGAACTCGATCGTGATGCTTGAAGCATTTGGTGGGATCTGGAGCGTGTGCTGCGTCGCAGCTCCATTCTTGATCTCGAGCGGCGGTACGGCCAGCGTCTGTCCGTCGGGCTCTTCGACCTCCATCCCAATCGCAAAGTTGGCAACCAGCGGCACACGATGTTCGATCCCCTCGATCGCAATTGGCTCCTTGGGCTCGGCCGGCAGCACGACTTCCTTGCGCTTGACAGGCGAGGGAGGCTCGCCGACAGGCATGCCACTTCCAAACGGCGAGTGAACGGCACCAGGAGTACCAGGTGGCAGCATCTGATGCATCGGCGACGGGCTGAGTCCGTGTGAGTACTGCTGCTGCTGTTGGAGCTGCCTCTGCTGCTCCAAATACGCCTGATGCTGCTGCTGTTGTTGTTGCTGTTGGTGTTGTTGCTGCTGTTGCTGTTGACGACGTTGCTGCTGCTGCGCCAGACGCTGTTGTTGCTGTTGGAGTGCCAATTGCTGCTGATGCTGTTGTTGCTGGAGAAGCTGCTGTTGCTGCCACTGCGGGATGGGCTGGGCGGCAAAAGCGGCAGCTTGCTGCTGTTGCGTCATGTTCTCTTGCTGGTCGTGCAACGCTTGCTTGCGCAGCATCTCCTCGTGTGCAGCGATGGCGGCTTGACGCGCAGCCGCCTCATGCTTCTTGGGTCGACCAGGTCCGACACGACGCTCCAAGAATGGATACGGATTGGACCTGCTTGGAGTGCCTTTGCCAGGCGGTCGACCGACCGGTCTTCGTCCCTCTGGTGTGGCGACAGGTCGTGGAGATGCGCTCGGCGTCATGGTCGTTCCAGGAAATTGCATGGGTCGCCCAGGCGAGCCAGCCATGCCCATGCCTGGTGGCATGCCAGGCATAGGCGACATCGAAGCAGGCGGTGGCATGGGCATCGACATGGGCATGGAGCCTGGCGTCCCCATCATCATCGGCGCGTGTGCATTTGGCGTTGACGTGGCTTGTGCCGCGGGCGAGGGTGAGCCAAACACGGCAGACGACCCAGCTGGCAGCCCATGGGCTGCCATCGCAGGCGATCCAGCAAGACCGACGGACCCGAGTCTGGACTGCGATGAGGGCTCGGGACTCTGAGATGCGCCCTCTCCGCCCGTCTTGGAAATGAGCATCTTGTATGCGTTCTTGTGCGCTTCGATGGTGCTGTTGGCAGCGAGATGAAGCGGCAGAGCCGACTGCCTCTTGTCGTCCTTTTCCAGAGTAAACCCGTCCTGCATGAGTGCGGGGATGGCCTCACGTTCAAAGTATTGTCGGATCTCCGCTGCATCTTGCCAGACGGGCGAGTCCGGAGGGTAGAAGGACATGGCGTTGTTGAGCATCAACTCGAGGTCGACAAAGAGCGCGTGCGCATTGATGTAGACTTTCTCGAAGACGCGATTGTCGATCTCACGCAGGGAGATGGGTTTGGAGATCACCTGATAGTACTGCGGATTCTCGCGTCGATCGGGGAGTGTTTCAAAGTGCTGCACGATGGGATAGCCGCGTGTTCCAATGACGCGACGCAGGTCGTAAACAAGCTGGCGAAGGGTGGCTTTGAGACGCTTTCCTCGTTTTCCGGGACGCTTCCGACCGTCGAAGAGGCCGCCCTTTGTGAGCTTGGACGAGTCGCCGTCTTCGTCATCGTCGCCGTCAGCGTCAGCATCGTCGTCATCTGCTGCAGAGCTGGGAGTGCCAGCAGCGGTGTAGGGCTGCTGGCTTTGCTGGCGAGAGGGTGTGAAAGGCGCGTTGGATACAGCATCTCTCGAGTCGGACGGCGCCTTGGAAGTGGTGGGCATGGGTGGGATTGGCTGATCCTGCACTTCTGCTTTTGGCTGGACCTGGTCGTTGAGCTTCTGTGTTGATTTGGAAGTACGTAGTGTAATGCGTTTGGACCGGGCCGGAGTCGACGCTTCCGCACCTGAAGGAGCCCCCTCAGCGCCAGTAGCAGCAGGAGTCATGTCGGGCGGATTGGGTTCTGGTTCTGGCAATGTTTCGACGATCTGAACATAGGTGATCTTGACGAGACTGTGCAGATCCCTAGCCTTGAGCCACACGGGAGTGTCGCGTTGATTGTAGCGTTTTGCGTTGTTGCAGATGGTCTCAAAGTCGTGCTTGATGTCTGGAAGGGTGGCGTAGCGGCCAGTGGGGGTGGTGTCGTCGAGCTTGGCTTGGATCTGGTCGAGAGCCATCGGTCTCTTGATCAGGTCGAAGTAGTCCGGATAGTCATTAGCGTCGGGCAATTCGAGGAAGTATTCGTGGAGGGGAGCGCCGTCGGTGGGGTCGATGGCTTCCATCACCGTGTCCATGAGTCTTTGACCCTGCTGCGCCACTTGTCTGTGCGAAAGGCTGTGAATCCTGCGCTCGATTGCGCCCATTCCGGCTGTGCTGGCGGTAGAGGTGCTAGCGGAAGGGGCAGCGGCTGATGCATCATCGGCTGAAGCGTCGTTGTTCCCACGCAGACGCTTACGTGGGCCATCGACGATATTGGCCGACTCGATTCCAGCGCGTCTCGACATTTTGTCTCAAGCTGGCGGGCTAGAGTGATGCGATGCCAAGAGAGCGGAATTGCCGTGCGTGTCTGGCTGTGACTGTGATTGTGATTTGAGCGAGAGAGCAGAGTTGCGTGCGTGTCTCGCGCTGCAAACTCAATGAAGGTGGGCTGAAAGCGCAAAAGGCGAACCTTGATGATGCAGCGGCAGCAGCATCGACGGAGCAGAGCCAATGATGCAGCAGCAGAGCGCCTCGTGACCGTGGAATTTCCGTCGCAGCAAGCCGAAGCTTCTTCCTGTCAGCTTGAAGTTGTGACTTTGAGGAGGTGCGAGAGATGCGAGAGGTCCGAGCGTCTAAGCAGATTGCAGTCGCGTCTTGACTGTGCTCTGAAGGTTCTATGATGAGGAAGGAAGCAGCTTGGTGAGACGATGCAAGCAATGCACTCGACTTTGCTTCCAGAGCTTCCTTCCAAGCAACCGACCTGGATCTGCAGCGTGCGTTCGCACTTGTGTTGGGCTCGCGAGGCGCGAAAACTCGTCCGTTCACGTTGAGCAGCGCGCAGAGAGCTCTCAAATCGGCAAGATCCAAAACCCATATCGGGCTTGAAAGCTAATTCTGCTGCGCTCCTGCAGGCGAGACAGTCCCGAAACGGCACGGGAAAGGGTCCTCCTGTAAATTCTCAAACGGCAGGCACTGGCTGGCTGTGCCGACTTGGCGAGCCTCAGACACGCCCTGTTTTAGCCTTTCCTCTCATGAAATTCCACGCGCACCGAGCTCAGGCCAACCTCATCTTGACCTTGGCGCTGCTCCATCACAACCGGACTTGCAGCTTCCTCATATCGTCTTCCTTGCTAGCAAGATAGCACCACCCGCGCATTCTCAACGATCACCAGCTCGCTCACAAGCCTGAGACGCAACCCGCACACGCTCGAAGCGCACCTTATCTCGTAGGCCAAGCCGGTCAACAGGCCACACCCTCCTCGTAGCTCTCTCAACATGGCGTCATCAGCAGACCCATTCTCGGACCGCAATGCGCTCGATGCAAACCCGTTCGCGGATCAGACGGTACAAGGAGCGCTCAACGACCCATCGCGGATGTACAGCGGTGCCGATGACGACGTTGCCTCGACCTACAAAGGAGCCGTCGACGACGTGCCCTCTTCCCGTGCCGAGGCCGATCGCATGGCAGAGCTTCGCCGAAGAGAGGAAGAGTTGGCACGTCGGGAGCGCGATCTTGACAGCCGTGCGGCGCATATCCAGAAGCACGGTCGCAACAACTGGCCCTTCTTCTACCCGCTCATCTACCACGACATTCAAGCCGAGATCCCGCCGGACAGCCAGCCCATCATGCAGGGCCTCTACAAGCTCTGGTTGCTCCTCGTGCTCGCACTGATTGTCAACATGGTAGCGTGCATCTTTTTGCTCCTCGAGGGAGCTTCTGACGGCGGCAAGGACATGATTTCGGGTGTGGTGTATCTGCCCGTCATCACGTTGACCAGCTTTATGCTCTGGTACCGCCCCATCTACAATGGCCTGATGAAGGAACACTCGCTCTTCTTCTACGTCTACTTTATCTTTGCAGGCTTCCACCTGGCGTTTTCGGTATACGTGTTCTTGGGCATCCCATCGACAGGCTCGGCAGGTCTCATCAACACCATCCAGGCGTTCGCAGACGAGGATCGGAAGCTCGTCGCGGGCATCTTGGGCGCGATAACCACCGCCATGTTCGGTCTGCAAGGGCTGGGCAACCTGTGGTTCTATCGCTTGATCTGGAAACACAACAACGAAAAGGGCCACACGTTTGCACAGGCCAAGAACGAGCTGGCTACGCACGGGATGATGGCGTACTTCACCCGTGGGTCCAATGTGTAATTGCACGAGCGGATCCAGTAGCACGCACGCGGTCCCATCCACGCTCGTCTCTTGACACGGTCTTGACTCGCTTACAAGAGGGTTCGCTCTGCGCTCTAGGTCCGAGACTGGCGAGGTCAGCCCGCCAACCGCTCGTTTCTGCTCCAGCCATGTTTCCTTTCCGCTATGCATGTACTTTTGCCAAGACTCAACCAGCTCAGAGCCAGATATGACGGAGCCCAATTCAGACGGGGTCCTCTCCCTGAAATTGATCTTGAAGCCTTCGTTGATGAGTGTCGAACGTCAAAAGCCCGTATCATGGTCGAGGACTTTTGACTATATGTGTTAGCACTGACCTTCGAACATACTTCCGCCGCGCGAATTGTCTCACCCAGGGTCCGTCGAGGCGTGGTTGAAATCAAAGGCGCTTGCAAGATGTAACGCTGGCTTGAATACAAATTATTCCAGAAGAAAGGCAAAAGCAACTGTGAAACACTTTTGAGCGTGCGTGTGGGCGTGTGTGTTGGGCGGCGCGAAGGGTGTGCATGAGCCATTCCACCTGCGCTCGCTCAGACGATCATCCTCACCATCCTCACACCATCGCGCCGGGATCACTTGCACACATACATATCAGCGCTTGCTTGGTCTCAATCAGCCCCTACGAAAGACGTCAGTCGCAGCCTCACTTCGACCGAGCAACGACTCCTTTCGAAACTCCATCGCACGCGTCACCCGCTAGCCGCACTCAAACATGGCCACCGTTGTCCCGGCGGCCGTCGCCCCCACCACCGGGGCGGACCACACTCCGCTCCAATCCTACGTCGGATTCGACTCGATCACCAAGCAGATCGAGTCCAAGCTCCTCAAACGCGGCTTCCAATTCAACGTCATGGTCGTCGGTCAGACCGGTCTGGGCAAATCTACACTCATCAACACGCTCTTTGCCGCGCATCTCATCGACACCAAGGGTCGATTCACCTCCGACGCCCCCATCCGCTCTACCACCGAGATCCACCCCGTCTCCCACGTTATCGTCGAAAACGGCGTTAAGCTGCGACTCAACATCGTCGATACGCCGGGGTACGGTGATCAGGTCAACAACGACAACTGCTGGGATCCCATCATCAAGTACATCAAGGATCAGCATTCTGCCTATCTGCGCAAGGAGCTGACTGCGCTTCGCGATCGGTATATCGTGGATACGCGGATTCACTGTTGTTTGTTCTTCATCAACCCTACGGGTCACGGGTTGCGCCCGATCGACGTGACGGTGATGAAGAAGCTCAGCGACGTTGTTAACGTAGTCCCCGTCATCGCCAAGTCGGATTCGCTCACGATGGACGAGCGCGATCTGTTCAAAGAGCGAATTCGCGCCGAGATGACGTACAATGCTATCCGAGCCTACCCCTTCGATAGCGAGGATTACGAGGCCGACGAACGCGATGCTAACGAACGCATCCGCACCCTCATCCCCTTCGCCGTCGTCGGCTCCGAACAATCCGTCGTCATCGACGGCAAACAGGTCCGTGGCAGAAAGAACCGCTACGGAATCGTCAACGTCGAAAACGAGAGCCACTGCGAGTTTACCCATCTGCGCAACTTTTTGACTAGGACGCATCTGCAGGATCTCATCGAAACCACGGCTCAGATTCACTACGAGGCGTTTAGGTCCAAGCAGCTGCTCGCGTTGAAGGAGAGCTCGTCCAAGGCGCAGGCGAGTCAGCAGGCGCACTAGGCGGTTTGTAGATATCTTGTAATCCTTTTGCCCGAAATGTCGAGTGAGAAGCGTGTGTGATGAGATCCTCGCAGTCGAGCAAGCATTAGCGTGTGAAGCCGTGAAGCGGTTCAGCGGCAACACCGTGGATGGGGCAGCAGTGCTGTTCGGAGGTCGTGTGCATCCAGACTCATGCTCGACACGCAATCCGTGTCAGACAAGCCAGCACGAGCACCACCCCTCGACCCAGCACCCACCTACCTCTCCTCACCCTTCCAGATTCCAGTCCACAGTCTGGCACCCATGCCACACAGCAACGACAGAACGACAATTCGATCGCATTGCACCGTCCCAAACGAAACACCATCGTCGCGCCGGTTCTACCAGAAAGAACACCATCCGACAAACGCGCAACAGAGATTCTCCTTACTCGTCGCGTCCTGGACGAGTCTTTCGATCTGGGCTGCGACACTGAGACTTTCCGACGGATTGTAATCTCTGCCGGCCAACTTGTTCTGGATCCTTCGGACGACCTCTAGGGCGCGCTGGTTGCGCATGTCGTGTGGGACGCCTGTTGGGGCGGCGATGGCGCCACCCTTGGCCGGTTCTTCGGTGTCACTCTCGCGTTGGTTTGCCGGGACTGTGCCGGAGGCGCCGACGTTTGCGGTGGTGTTGACCGCCGTGGTGGTGGTGGTGGTGGTTTCGGTGGGGGCAGCTTCGTTCTCCTGTGCATCCGGTGCCGCTTCGTCCGCTACCAGTCGCCAACTTATCAATGGATCATGCACGAAGGCCTCCAGTAGCGCTAGCACGGACTCCTTGTTATCGCGCAACACGCGCATCGTGTTCTCCGCCGTGACCTTGAACGTCCCCTTGATCCCCCCAACTTCCATGGCGTTGACCAACATGCGAGTGAGTCGGAACGGCACCTTTTCAGGAAACTTCGGTCGATGACAGGCGATCTCGAAACAGTCACCGAAATCGATATGGACGATTTGACCGGTGAGCCTGTCGAGCAGCAGATTGGACGGGTGTCGATCGCCAAGACCCAAGATGTAACCCGCGACGGAGGACACGGCCAACGAGCGCGTATACGCCAATCGTCGTTCCAACCACGATTCCGAATTGCGCGATTTCAACCACAACACCCGGTACAGGTCCTGCCCGGGCGTGTTGTCCAGCGCATACTCGAACACCTCGACCTTCTGCATCAGCGTGAGGTGGTCGTAATCGGGGGCCATCTGCAGCATCAACCGGTGTTCGATGTTGAGCAGGATCTTGTGTTGTTCGCGGTACTCCTTGATGAGCACGTGGAGCGTGTCGGTGTGTTCGACCCAGCCGATCATGCCCGTGTTGGGCGAGAGCGGGATCACGGGGAAGCGTCGAATCTCCAGTCGTCGCTTGTAACTCTCCGAGTCGATCGAGAGAAGCGTGTTGACCAGACCGAAGAGTTGCATTACGCGCTCGTCCTGTCGGAGATCCTCGTGACCCTTGAGCAGATACTGGTACGTCTTACCGTCCGACCCCTTCATCTTGAGTCGACGTGGATGCTGCTTCGACGCGATCACCAGTACGATCTGCTCGAACCGCGTGATGCATACGATCGGCTTGCCCGACTGATACGTTCCCGGCACCGCCAACTCCAGATCGCGCATGGCCAGCAGCTTCGGCGAGACGTACTGCAGATCGAGCTGCACCGAGTTGCCCGCCGGCAGCTGCTTGGTGATCTTCTTGAAGACGTGGTAGTACAGGTCCCACGCCTGGTTGAGATCCGAAATGTCGCCGTACTGACGGAAGCGTCGACCGCACTCGCGGGCTTCGGCCAGATCGCGACCGTGCGTTTGGGCGAAGGACGTCTCGCGCAGTGTCTCGGGTCCCTTCTCGAGCGCATCGTGCAGCGGCTCGAGCGTCGCGAACATGGCATCGATGTTGTGCTCGGTAAAGTAGAGCCTCGACGCTTCTTCGAGTCCTTCGTGCCACATCTCGTGCCACAGGATCGCGACGCGGATGAGCTCGTTTGATACGAGCAGCGCCTGCTCCACCAGCACCGGCGAGTGCTCGCGCACGTTGTCCATAATGCCCATGGCCGCCTGGATGCGCATGTGACTCGGACTCTTGGCCGCGACCGTGAGCGGATAGACCAGAGCCTGTGGATGCGCCAGTCCAACGTCGGACAGCAGGTTGTGAATGAGACGACGCACGCGCGGTGACGGCGCCGTAATACGAGCAATGATCTGTGGAATGACCTCCAGCCACGTATCCACAATGACGCTGGCAAAGCCCTCGCTCACCGCCTGCGAGACATCCTCCTGATGACCGTACTTGAACCACAGCGTCAGCAGACGCAGCGTGTCCTGCAACGAGTTGCCGCTGGCTAGCGCGATCGAGCGGAAGAAGCCCTGCACCGACGGGACGATACTCGCTGCGATCATCTGCGGCGTGATCTGGTCGTTCCTCTCCTCGTGGTGCGAGATGATCTCGAAGTTGGCCAGCGCCCACGCGTGCCACGCCTTGTACCAGTTGCGGTCGAGCTCGGTGGCTCGGCGGTAGCTCTCGATGACGTTGCTGTTGTCGTCCAAGACCCAGTTCTCGCGCAGCGACATCTGCCATTCACCCTGCTTAAAGAAGCAGCGTGCAAGCAGACGTGCAAACTCGCCCAGACGCGGCGACGACTGCCAGTCTTGCGTAACCAAGTTGCCGTGCTCGTCGACAGTGTGGACGCCAAGGTCCTCGGCGAGATTCATCGTGAATTCTTGCAAGTAGCTGAGCGACTCGATCCTGGCACCTGAAGCCCACATGAATTTGAGGTGTGCATAAATGACCGGTGGCGGTGCTCGTGGACCGATCGGTGACCTTGGGTCGGCATTCGTGCGCTCGGGTCCCAGCAGCGAATTGAGCGTCTTTTCGGCCAAGACCATCCGCCCTGACTTGCGGCACAAGTTGGCGAACTTGATCCATGTCTCGGTGTCATCAGCCGGAGTGAGCACGATGGAGCGCACAGATAGGATGCGCTGCCACACTTCAACTTCTGGCTGACAACCCTTGAGTCGCTTCATCCATGTCGATCGAATGGTGGCTTGGCGGTCAGGCTGCTCCTTGTAGTCAAGCTTGTAGGCAAGAGCCTCTTCGAGCTCGGACAGCATCTGAGTGCGTACCATGAGGTCGTAAGCACGGCCGTAGCTCTCGCTGATCAGAGCAGTGAGTTCCGAATCGAGCGACTCTCGCGCCTTGGCAATCTGCTTGTTGGCCGCAGCGCGTTGCGAGCGGTGCGTGTGCAGGATGGCGCGGTAGAAGGAGCGTTCGGACGAGTCGGAGCGCATGGCCGAGATGTAGTCGTCCATCGTATCCCACTGGCCGAGCGACCAGGCGGCAGCAGCAGCCAGAGGCGCCATGTGTCGGCGATCCTCCATGTCCGCTCTGCCCCACTTTTGCTGCACGAGATCCGAGAGATGCTCCCATTCTCCCAAGGCGTGCAAACAGCGCATCTTGCCAAAGGCGACAGGATAGTCGTCCGGATCCAGCATTGCTTTGCGGTCGTACGCTGCCAAGGCCTCCTCCCAGCGATGCAGCTTCTCGTACCACTCTTCGTGGTGGGTGATGTCGAGGTGTTCGCGCGCGTAGGTGAGAGCACCGAACGCCGCATCGGACTGCTGCAGCTTGGTGTTGATGTCGATGAGGCTTTCGACGACCTGCGGAGAAGGATCTGTGAGGAACTCGGCTTCCTTGTAATGAAGCGCTTTCGCATAGCTGTGGAATTTGTAGGCGCGATCACCGAGCACGCGGATGTTGATCGGCAGCGCCTTGTCGTCGTGCTCCATGAATTCGGCCAAGTTGAGCAGCATGTGCACAACATCGCCGGGCACTTCTGGAGCATCGAATGCTGTCTCGAGAGCCTTGACCAGGTCGCTCTGGTACTGCTCGTACAGCTCGGTCCAGCATGAGACAAAAGCGACGTTGAAGAGACCGTACGCCAAGGCCGGGTAGACATCTGCCAAGCTTCTGCATGCCCTCAGAGCATGACTGGGCGATTCACGCATGAACTCGACCGCCATCCGCCTCAGCCATTCTTGCCAGTCCTCACTGGTCGACACCTTGGATGTGTCCCAGGCCTGCTTGAGGTGCTGCTGGTTGACCGTCATCTTGTTGGCCTCGGCCTGCGGAGACTCGTCCACCTTGCTTCCGAGCGCGTTGTCGTTGGCAGACAGATCCTGTGGGAGGCGTTCGCCGTTGAGCAGCTTAGTGACGAGCTGATTGTAGCCAGGGTGTTGGATGCGATTCTGAACGAGAACCTTGTTGACCACGGGGATGAATATCGCGTACGAGGGGCCGAGCTGGACGACGAGTGCCGACAGCGTCTCCATGACAGCATTGCGGATCTCGGTGGAGCCTGTCGGGAGAACTCGCACGAGCGGGTGGATGACCCTAGAAGCATGGTCGCAGAAGCTGACCTTGCGCGACAGATTGCCAATAGTAATGATCGCAGAGCGACGCAGCGCCTGAGACGCATCCGGACGTTCGAACATCTTGACAACGACCGGCAGCACCAGGTGCAGGTACTCTTCGATGTTGGAGCCAAACACATAGAACGCCTGCAAGATGCGGAGCAGCGTGGGTTGGCGCTTGCTCGTGATCTCGCCGTCGAGCGTTTGCAGCATGTTGGGAAGCAAGATCGGCAGGTACGACTTGAACTCGCCCTCCAACGCCTTTGCGACGGCCTCGACAAGCGAGACGATCGTAAGCTGGATGCTCGAGTTTGGGTTCCAGTTCTCCTGCACGAGCTCGAAGATCGGTTCGAGATGGCTGCGGACATGCTGCTTGATGATCGAAATAAGAATGGCGAGCTGCTGAAAGTAGAACTCGGAGAGACCCGTGCCGCATGTGCGAATGACGTTGAGGAAGGCGGGGATGATCTGCGGCAAAAAGGTGACACATTTGAGACCTTGGGTCTTGAACATGTACATGATGGCTTCGATGACGGCGTGGTGGTGCGTCGACAGGGAAGGGTCCTTGAGGATCGTAATGAGGGCATCGATCGCGATGTTCTGATAGTAGTCATCCGTGGAAGTACCGATTGCTAGTGCCAGCTCGAAGAGATCAGTTCCGCTTCCTTTGGACGTCTCGTCCTGGCCCTCGTCGCCGTTCTTCTCGAGAAGCTTGTATCGGTAGGGATCAAGGGCACCGAGAATGCCCATGACTCGGATCGTCTCGCGACGCACTGGCTTGGACTGCTCGGTCTTGAGGATCTTGACGACCGTGCCGAGCAGATTTCTGTATGTGAGGTATGGGTTGACGACATGACCAGTGTTGGATGCGACCAGACCGAGCGTCTTGAGCGCTGCATCTCGCTTTGCCGTCGACGACCCCGGCGCAGTGCTGGAGAGTTGGTCGATGGCAAGACGCATGAGCTGGTCGACATTCGGAGCCAGATCCTCACCTCCGACCTTGGCAAGCTCACCAAGACACTCCATGACCCTCGCGGCAACGCCAACGCTCGGATCGTTCGCCTTTGGCAAGAGCACCTCGAGCATAGGAAGAGCATACGACTTGACCAGTCGTTGCGAAGCGCGAACGACCTCTGTCAACAGCTTGGCTGCTTCCTCCTTGTGCCTGCTCACGGTCGAATATTCGAGCTCGGTGAGGAGCTGAATGAGCGCCTTTCGCAACGACGGCATCACGTATGCTGGGTTGTGCTTTGCAAGACGTCCGATGATGACGATGGCCACTTCGCGCACTTTGAACTTCTCGTCGTTGAGCGCGATAAACAGGGATCGCACGTATTCGGACTGTGCGAGATGGCGGTCGAACTGCTCTTGTGCGCCAAACTTGCTGAGCACCGTCCATCGAAGCTCCGGATCTGGATCCGCGATGCCGACAGTCATAAGCTTGTCAAGCACGTCGTTGACGACCTCGATGGCATGCATGCTCGTCTGCCGGCAGATAGGGTCGTTCACGAAGAGGTCTGCGCACGTTTCCGCAGCAGCTTGACGCACGGCGGCGTGGTCGTCCTCGAGGTAGGGGAGTGTGCAGTTGCGGACGAATTCGTTGAGGATGTGACCTTGGAAGTCGAACCTGCCGAGCGTCTGCAAGGCCACCGTGATGGTCTCGACTCCTTTCGACTCGACCGTCTGTGCGGCCCCCACATCGCGGCTGGCGTTGGCGGAGGGTCTGAGACTCGCCGGTGCTCCGAGCGGGCGATATGGTTGCCCGATGAGCGTCATGGACAGCATATCCAGGAGTCGATCCTGCACCACCTTCATGAGTGGCGGAATGGCCTTAACGATGCCGTCGAGTGCTGTGACGAGCGGGATGCTAAGACCGCAGGAGAACATGAGATCGAGCAGATCGTGCATGTATCTTGTGAGATGCGGACCCACCGCTGTGGCGAGGTTGCCGATGCAGAGGAAGATCGGACCCTCTGGTGGTGCGTTCTTCTTGCCTCGCATCTGCAAGCCCTCCTTAACGCACGCCAACACGGGCTCGATGAAAGGCTTCATCTTGGGTCCCATGGCAGCGGCGACGAAGCCGATCGTTTCGAATGTCTGTGCCGACTCTTTTGGTGATCGATCCTTCTCCTTGCGCAGCTGCTCGGTGAGTATGCTCATGACCGCGCCGAGATGCTCTTCGGCAAAGTAGTGTGGATCATAGCGGGCCAGAACAGGCACGAGGTTGGTGATGGTGCGGCGGATAAGCGGATCGCGATGCTTGTGTAGTCGGAAGACGAGCTCACAGGCACGCTGAAAGCGGTTGCGCATGAAGGTCTTGGAGTGCTGCAGAAGCTGTTGGACTGCCAATAGACTTCCATGAATGGCCTCGGCGGCGCTCATCTTGAGGCCCTTCTCTGCCTCTTCGTAAATCGATTCAAAGAAGTAGCTGCCCATTTGCTTTTCTCGAGCGGCGATGATGCCGAGGCAGGCACCCATAGCTTCTGCAGCACCTTCTCTGACAATGACGCGGACATCTCGCAGCGCTACCCAGATGCGATCGAGGACTCGCGGCACGTAAGGATGGAACTGCTGAGGCACCTTTTTGGCCATCTCGCGAATGATGAGCACGGCTGCATATCGGCCTGACTCGTTGCGATCACCGGCTTGCAGGAAGTCGAGCGCACGAAGCACTTCATATTCGATGAACTGCTCCCCCAAAGATTGGCCGCCGTGGTAAGCGACTCGGCCCAGCGCGCGAGAGGCAGCGATCATGACGGAAGCATCGTTGCATGGCAGATTTGGTTTGAGGTATTGATAGAATCGGTAGAGTCGCGCGCTGTTATCCTCGCTCTCCTGCTCGATGAGATCCTCGATGGCGATGATGCCGCCGAGCTTCTCGTGGACATGTTGACTGTGTGTGAGTTCGAAGATTCTGCGGTGAAGATCGTTGTTGAACGTGGAGAGGCTGTCGCCTTTGAGCTCCGAGACGACGAAGGCAACGTGCGACTTGAGCTCTTCTCCAGCTGCTTGCCGTGATGCTTCGTCTCTGCTCCTGAGACCGGCAAAGATGCGATTCAGGGCATCGTTCTGATGCACCCCGACGACCGACATGATGTGCGGACGGGTCCCTCACAAGGGTGGTGAGGCCGGTTGGATGGAGCTGCTCCGCCGCTTTCAGTGCGCAACCATAGCCAAGGCTCCTATGGCTAATACTGTTCAGCTGTGGTTGCTTCGAGTCGAGCTGTGAACGGCGATGGGTGATGTTTGGGCGGAGATGGTGCTGAGAGCCCTTGGCGGGTAGTCGTTGAGTGCTGCGCCTTGATCTATCGAAGTCCGCGCTGAGCGTCCACTAAGAACGAGGCTGAGTCGAAATCAGAAGGGTAGACCGTGACTTTGGCAGCAGAAGGCCTCGGTTTGAGAAAGAAGGGTATAGAGTTGTTGTAGTAGTGGTGTGTGTGATTGGATGATGCGGAGTAAGGGTTCGAGATGGACGATGCGCTCGTGACTTGTGCACGAAATCAAATTGGTTGGTCCAAGCAACCGACCGCCGCTCTCTAAACCCACAACGCTCGAACCCTGGACAATTTTCAGGCCCGATCCAAGCGATCTCAAAGCTCATCACCAACGACCTCATCCATCACTCTGCCCACACACACACACTCACGAATAGACCAATGCCATTTCTATGAGACCGACAACTTTGATTGAGTCCTTACACCACCCTCGTCCTGTCGATCTTGCCAAACTCGCGATTCGCAGCATTCTCCTTGGCCTCGAGCACCTTACCCGCCGTGGTCTCGCCAAACACCTTCTTGGTCTTGTCCCTGTACTCGACCTTCATGGTCGGCACCTGCGGATCTTGGAGCAGCTCCTGGGTCATCTGTACCTGCTTCTCGCCCGCCGTTGGCTTCTGTTCCGTCGGCGCAGCGGTAGACGAGGGCGCGATGAGCGACGTCTTTTCGCCAGCGGCAAATTCGAGCCCGAGCGCAGAGTGGGCTTTCTCGATGAGGTCGTAGTAGGTGGCATCCGATTCACGGGTGGGCAGGAAGCTCTGCAGGTTCTCCTTGGTGAGCGTCTGGTTGAGACCGAACTTCTCGCGCAGACCGTCGAGCTCGAGCTTGACGCTAGCAACGCTCTTCTCGAACGCGGCATCGCTGCCGGGGTGCAAACCGGTGGGCACCTCGGCGTTGGGTGCCGAGATTTCGACGCTGGACAGATCGATGCCTGTGCCAACCACCTCCTTCCACGTCTTGCCTTCAGTCTTGAGCAGCTCGACCAGCTCGTCCTTGAGACGGCGCGGCAGACCCACACCCTGGTAGCCGAACGAAGTGTACAGCTCGATAGCGCTCGCACCTGCCTTGGCGTAGTCGAGCGCATCTTGACCACTGGCGATGCCGCCGCAGCCAATGATGGGCAGCTTGCCCTCCAGACGCTTGTACACCGTCGTCAAAGCCTTGAGCGCAAGCGGCTTGACAGGAGGGCCTGAGAGACCGCCAGTCTCGCGAACGTGCTCAGAAGATCGAAGCGACGTAGGTCGGACAATGGTGGTGTTGCTGATCACCAACCCGTCGATCCCGCTCTTGAGCGCTGCATCGGCAACGTCGTGGAGCTCCTCCTCGCTCAGGTCTGGCGCAATCTTGACCAGTAGGGGCACCTCGACCTTCTTGTTCGAGAAGCTCAGGTGCGACTCTACCATGCCGTTGCGAGCCTTGACCACCTGGGTGAGCAGGTCTTCGAGCACGCCGCGACGCTGCAAACGACGCAACCCGGGAGTGTTGGGACTGCTGACGTTGACAATGATCATGTCCGCATACGGACCCAGACGCTCGACGCCCTTGACGTAGTCGTCGACGCTCTCCTCCTTGCTGGTCTTGTTCTTGCCCAGGTTGATGCCGAGCATCTTGGCGGGTCGCAAGCTGCGAGGCAGATCGGTTGCATCGACGAAAGCCGAAGTGCTTTTGGGATGCGAGGCGATGAGCTGCCTAGCATCAGGAGTAGCATGATCAGGCGATCCGACCAGCGCATCTTGCAAGCTGGAGACGCTGGAAGAGTGGAGCAACCACCTTCGGACACGATCCCTCAGACGGCTGAGGATGACATTGTGCCCATCCGAGTTGAAGCCGAAGCGGTTGATGCAAGCGTTGTCCTCGATCAGGCGGAAGTAGCGCGGTTGGGGGTTGCCTGGCTGTGGCTCGGGTGTGACACTACCAATCTCGATGAAGCCGAATCCGAGATCGAGCAAGCCATCGATAGCCTCAGCTTGTTTGTCGAACCCAGCTGCCAGACCGATAGGGTTGGACAGTTTCCTACCGAAGAGCTCCGTCTCGAGCACGGCATCGTCGTCCACCATGTCGCGAGGTGCAAGACCGGTCTCGAGCATCTTGATGGCAAGCTTCTGCGCTGATTCGGGGTCGAGGAAGGCTTTCAGGGCGGGGATGGCGATCCAACGGTGGATAGCCGATCGAGAGTCGGCATAGTAGGCGACACCGAAGGTACCCGCTGCGAGTGCAAAGACGAGGTAGATGAATTGCTTTGTGCGGGCGAGAGGTGTCGGTGGTGCGCGAGTGAACAGAGTGCGTCGTCCGGCCTGTGCGAATGCAGAGCTAGCTGCGACTCGTGATGCTGACGAGGCGAGCAACGAAGAGGGTCTTGCAGCTGGTGTGAACGCAGGGGCAGCTGTTGGCAAGCCTCGAGCTGCCATGGAAGAGCGCATAGGCGCAGCGGCCGCGCGCATGCTTCGAGAGGCAAGCATGTTGGCGGATGGTGCGGATGTCCTTGCAGCGATGACTGTGTCGATGTGAAGAGATGGAAACGACGATGATGCTGTTCAAGTTGCTCGTGCGCATTTCCAATTCCATTTCCCACTTTCTTCCGAACGCGAGCTTTGAGTCGTGGACAGCTGCTTGGTCGCTCTCTCTCGCTCACATCGCCTTGTGCAGCCGTTCGAATCGCGCAGATCCACCGCCGATTTCCCACTCTAACACGTGATGTGAATTGCTCCACTTCTCTCACTTTCTTCCTGTCGTTCACGACTATCGAACCTACATCCATCATCACTCGATCGCGCTTCTAGCTCTTTCGACACGGACCAACCTCGCCTCTGTCTGTCGCATACAGCGGCAAGAAGCGGAGCTCTACAGATAAAAGGTGGGACAGGTACCATACCTTCGCAGGCTAAAGTCCCGAAGTCAAGACAGCCAGTCTTCGAGAATCACACTCGAGCTTCATCCGACGGCGCCATACGCCCTGGCCTCTCCCTCACACAGTCTCGACGCAGGCATCGCATGGCACGGACACTCTATTCATAGGGCGTGCCTTTATTGAGCTGGCTGAAATCAGCCAAGCAGCGCCAACAAGCTCGTCAGGCTTCCCACGCTCCTCAGGACAGACCTCTCCAATATGTCGGCCCTCCAGCAGTACGTCGACCAGCAGGTGCTCGTCATCACACAAGACGGGCGCGTCATCGTCGGGACACTTCGCGGCTCCGATGCTGTCGGGAGCATTATCCTGGCCTCGTCAATAGAGAGGATATTCAGCGCTGACGAGGGGGTAGAAGAGGTGCCACTTGGGTTGTACATCCTCCGTGGCGACAGCATCTGCGTGGTGGGGCTGGTGGACAAGGTCAAGGACAGGGAGGTTGATTGGGAAAAGATCATGGCCGAGCCAATAGCCGAGACCAGGCATGTGTAGCGGTGATAGCACGCAGATGTAGCAGGTCCGATGCTTCATTCATCTCGGCCGTGGTCGTCGTTCGTCATCTTATACCCTACACACTCACAGCTCCGCGGCAGCTGATCAAAAGATGTGGCGAGAAAGGTGCAGCAGAGCACCCGGCCAACAGGGTCTTTGTGCTTGAGCATAAGGATCTCGTCGATCCGAAAGCTAAGACAAGGCATGTCAAGGTGGACGACTTGTAGCAGCATTCGTGGCGGAGCACCGACATTCTTCGCCATCATCGTCAAATGACGTCTAGTACACCTCACTCTACGGATCCACTGCAGAGATCTCGACGTTCGCTCACGAGCCGCCCTCGGCCACAGCGAGACCATCTCACATCACAAGGTATCTCACATCGAGACCCGGCCCAGATAGAAAGCATGAAATGAATTGTTCAAAACCAGACACAGATTGAGGGGAATAGAAATGCAGGATGTGCACGAGAGCAACACCGCCGAGTACCGAACCAGATGAGCGCCTACGATCGACTGAACCAGCCCTTCTTCTTTTTCTTGTCGTCCTCCTTGCCAGCATCACCTTGCGCAGGCGGGCTAGGTCCAGGGGGAGTAGGCATCGCCGAGCCTGGGCCACCGAAACCGGGACCACCAGGCGGGCCAAAGGCACCAGGACCGGCGCCGGCCATACCAGGTCGCGCTGCAAAGTGAGGCCCGGGAGGTCCTGGTGGACCAGAAGCAGGGAACATCGGGTTGTGCATCTGCGCAGGACCGCTGATAGGCGATTGCGAGGGTGCCGCGCTGGCGGCCATCGGATAGGATGGGTACGCCTGCGGTTGCGAGAAGGGTACGGGCGGCGAGCCTAGGCCTCCCTGTGGAGGCTGTGGCTGATGGGGCTGCTGCTGCTGCTGCTGCTGAGGCATGGGCGGTGGACGAGGCAGACCCATCGAGGGCGAAGGAATTGCAAAGACGGGCGAGTTCATCTCCGGCTGCGAAGGAGAGTGTCGCAGCATGGCACGCGCCTGAGCTCGCTCGTTGGCCGCCACATTGGCGAGGTACTGCTGTTCTCGCTGCGCCGTCTGAGCCTCTCGCATGGCGAGCGGCGAGGGATAGCTCTGCTGCGTGTTGGGTCCCGTCGAGGCAGGGAAGGGTGCCGACGTGGGTTGCGCGCTTCGGCCAAACTCGTGCATACTTTCGCGCTGCTCCTGCCTCTGCTCCAGTCGCTGCTGTTGTCGGTTGACTGGCGCCTGTCCTGCTCCTGCACCAACGCCCGCGAGACCGACCGGCCCGCCGCGAACGCCCTGCAGCGCTGCAATACGCTGGTTGGCACGCTTGTCACCGTGGTCGCCGGCTCTCTTGTACCACGCTCTGGCCTCGGCGAGGTCCTTGACGGTCCCGATCCCCATCTCCGTAAAGTAGCCGACAGCGTACTCAGCTTTGGCGAGACCCTGCTCGGCTGCCTTCTTGGCCCACAGATAGGCTTCGGTGTCCGATTGTGGCAAGATGCCGGGTGCACCGACGAGGTACCAGGCAGTGAGGGCGAAGCAGGCCTCCTTATGGTTCTGCTGCGCGGCAATGTTGTACATGTGGATACTGAGACCGCCGTCCTGGGGGCAGCCCATGCGTCCGTACTCGTAGTTGACGCCGAGCTTGTAGGCACTAGGCGCATAGCCCATCTCGCCCGCTTGCGCGAGCAGCTCGCAGCTGTATTCGGGGTCGACAAAGAGCACGTTGTCGATACCTCGCTCGTGCAGCAATGCGAGCTCGTGGAGGGCGTGCGGGAACTCGGGTGTGGCAGCCTCGGCGGAGCGCTTGAGCCACTTGACGCCTTCCTTGGCGTTCTTCTTAAGACCCAATTCGCCGTTCAGCTCAGCAGTGGCGAGTCGATACATGGATCCGGGATGATTCTGCGCGGCCGACTTGCGGTAGAACTGGAGCGCCTTGCCCGCATCCTTTCGACAGCCCCATCCCTTCTCGTAGCAGGTGCCGGCACGGTAGGCGGCATCTGGGTGACCGTGCTTGGCGGCGAGGACAAAGTAGGTGTAGGCCTGGCCGAAATCTTGCTTGCCTGTGCGTGTGCCGATGCCATTGGCGTAGCAGTCGGCCAGGAAGTATTGCGCGTCGGGATGACCTCGGTCGGCAATCTTTTTGAGCAGTCCGGTGGCCTCCTTCATGAGCTCCTCCTTCTGTGTCTCGACCTTGTTGGGCCCGTTGACAGCAGCGACGGGGGCCGCACCGTCCTCTTCGGTACCCATGGTCTTGGCAGCGTCTACCATGAAGACGGCCAGCTCATAGATGAGATTGGGGTCGTTGGTCTTCTTGGCGTTCAGTCGATACAGCTCGAGCGTCTTTCCGTGGCTGAGCAAAGATGCCTTCTGGCCGACCTTGAGATGGCTGTGGTCGAGCAAAGGGCCGCTGGCGACAGAAGGCGCAATGCTTGCGGGACGAGTTGCGCCTGCGGGACCCAGACCTCCGAATCCACCGCTGGATGAGGGCATAGGCCCGTTTCCAGTGCCGCCTGCGGCAGTGGAGATACCACGCGGTGCTGGGTCATTGCGGAAGGAAGAGCCGCGCGTTCCAGGTGCACTCGCGTCGCTGACGGTGGTAGGTATGGAAGCCGATTCCTGTGCGAGGCTGGAACTCGAGTCGCCCTCGACGCCAAAGAAGGACGAGGGGCGAACGCCTGCGGTGACGTTGTCGAGATTGCGTTGCTGAGGCAAGCCCGCGCCATTGGTCTGGTTGAGATGCTGTTGATCCTGGTAGAAGCCGTCATCGTCGTTGAGCACACTCGCAGGAACGGGCGCCTGATGACCGTTTGCGTTGAGGCCTGCAGCAGGAGGCATTTGCATTCCGGGGAAGGTGCTGAGTCGGATGGGGTCACCGTTGATGTCACGAGGCAGATTTGATTGTGCAGGTGAATTTTGGTTGCTGGAACGCTCTCCACCATTGATGTTGAGTGCGGCCATGTTGAGAGCGCTGGGAGGAGATTGAGGCAGCGCCTTTTGTGGGGCTGGTGCTCGCACGGGTGAGAAGTTGGAAGCCAGTTGCGGCGCACGCGGAGCTGGAGGGCTCTGCGGAGGCATGACTGGTTGATAGGGCGCTCCGTTGACTTGTGAGGGCTGTGTGGGGGGAGAGTTGGGCAACGTAGGAGGTTTGGGCAGTGGACTGCGGTTGGCAGATAATTGCGAGTCGTGGCTGGCGCTTTGGATGGAAGGCTGCTGGACGTACGAGCTCGCAGAGGAGAAGTGACGCTCGAGCTGCGGTTGCGACTCCGTCGACGGGTATCCCTGTAGTGGCCGATGTTGCAAAGAAGAGTCGCCGCTCCTAGCCGCTGGTTGCGATTCTATCGACTGAAGTGGCGCGGAAGCAAGGTGGCCCTGCTGAACCGCGGAGGCGGGCTGTGTTGGCGCGTCGTCGTGAAATGCTGATGCAGAGGAGATGGCGGACTGGTCCGGTTCGGGTTCACCCTCGATCTGAGCTGATTGCGGCTCTACCAGCGCAGCTGAAGCCACCGATGGAGGTGCATACTGTTGGAAGAAGTTGTTGTTGGAGTTGGTGGTGGAGAAGAGCTCGGATTTGGAGTCGAAGCTCTTGAACTCGGGGAAGTCGGGAAGCTGAGAAGCAGTGGTTGCTGGCACGGAATGTGTTGCCGCTGAAGAGTAGAATTGACCAGCATCGAGGTCGGGATACTCGAGGTGCTCCGTTTCGTGTGGGTTGGGAAGGGGCCCAGCGGAGGCGGATGCATCCTTTCCCTGTGCAGCATCGAAGCGATGATGGAAGGCATAGGCCGACGAAGCCGGAGCGGCCATGTTTGCTGCTTAGGATAGCGCTGGGCGACGCTGAGTTGACAGACTAAACCCTAGCTACGACGACTGGCTAGCGATCTTGAGCCGTTCGCAGAATGGAGCACGAACGTAACGACAAAGGAGCAGCGGCGCTTGCCTAGCCAAAAGAGAGCAGAAAGGCTGCTTATTAGGTTGCAGATGGTGACGATGGCTCCGCGATGGCAGTTGCTTGCTGTGTTGTTGATCTGACAAGCGATGACCGTCGTTCCTTCGATCTCGGTCCGAGGTGATTCGACTGAATGATCCGATCCGCCAAGTTTGCGAGGGTTGAAGGAGTCCGTGTGAGGATGTGTGACGAGCTGAGTCGATCGGTTAGGAGGGGTTCAGGATGCGAAGATGAAGGCGCAGGTGTGGGTGGATTGCAGCCGCGGCGGAACGATAGGAGAGATGACGGCAGGGTCTCGTCTCGGTCAAAAGCAGAAAAGCCAAGACAGAGACAGAGACAGACAGGCGGAGACTGGCCAGCAAGCGCCTCGGAAGATCGATGCGAAATTTCGAGCACAGCCAGCCAAGCCAGCCAGTCAGCCAGTCAACCAGCCAAACGTGTGTGTGTGTGTGGTGGGTGCGAATTTCAACGGTGAGGCCAAGCCAAGAGAGCTGAGGATGATGATGCATCTCGCGTTGGCCTGCCTGCGTGTGATTTCTGTGGATTTTTGACAGGGAATTTTGAAACACACAGACCCTGACTGACTGAGTGACTGACTAACTGGCTGACTGGCTGGCTGATGGAAATTGAGGGTTTAAAACGTGTTTTTCTTTGAGATCGCTTGCCTGCGTAGGGCAGGCTCGTAGACAGGAAAGCAAGGGGCTACACAGGCGGGAGAGGGGCCAAGGTGACATTCACATTGATCAGCCAGACGCTCTACACTGGACTCTCATCGGTAGTGTTGGCTTGGACTCACAAATCTAGGCAGAAAGGTGTAGAGAGGAGGCATAGGCCGGCCAGGTGACTTGTAGATTGGCCAAGCAGCAATCAAGCGCCAACACGCCGGTCGCGATGCGGGACCCCGGTCGAGGTTTATTGTTCTCTGTCTTGGCCTCGGGGCGTCGTCCGTACTTGGATGCGGATTCAGTCCTCCTCTGCTGTCTCATGCCCTGCGGACGCCATGCTCTGCTCGTTGGTGGCATCTTTGTCTCTCTGATCTCGCAGAACGGCTTCTGATCTTCCAAAGGCGTGACAGGACGTGAGAGAGTTGCTTTTGAAATCAACTCATGGTGAGACTACAAATTAGTATACAAACGAACCCTTGATCGCAGCTCAGGCCCGTAATTTGAAATGCGATGCAGGGTGATGACGGTCTGCTGCTGCTTTCAAAGGGGGGCTGTCGCGTCGGATCGCTGGCCTCTGTGTTGGCCGAGCCGCCCTTCATATCGATTCCGTGCTGGCTGTCAGGGCGCGAAAGTCTTCGATGCAGCAGGCTTCACCATGCAAGCGAGGAACCAGGATTTGAACACATGCTTTCGAAGGGTCGAAGGGGCGTGCGCTTGTCGATCCGCCCTCGCATGCTCGTAGTAGTTCGGAACCTCTTTCCGAGTTTCCTGCGTTTCAAGTCTCCGTCGATCGCCAAACTTCTGCTCGTCGTTTGAAACAGTAAGCCCTGCGAGTCAGCCCCGCTCGATCGTGCTGTCGGCTGCCGAGCCGTCTTCTACTTGAGCGCCCTTCTTCGCGTCTCGAGATCGTGTTGAGACGTCTGATCTGACCGAGTTCACGTCAGAGCTTGACAGACGACTCATCGGCGATCGTCCGCGAGTTGATGGGCTTGTTAGACTTGCTCACCTGCCGTTTCAAATATTATCGAGCGCGAAAAAATAACATTGGATGAAATAGTCGGTCTGAAAAAGAAGGTCGCAAAAATAACTCAGTAAGCCCACACACTTGCAATCACCTTTCCTCCCGTTCTCAACCGCGCATCCGCAAAAAGAGAGCTACTCAGAGGCAAAAATGGATATTGAGGCCTTTCATAGAAGGAAGAAGCTGAACGTCGACGACACTGTCTTGCGCCGAGTTCTGTGTTGTTACGACAACATAGCGGGCCGGGTCATCCTAAGTCGAACTCTCTTGAAATGCTCGAATAGCTTCGTGGCATCGGGAGACAGGCTCCCACGACCGACGCTGATCGCCAGATCTTCGGCCTCCATCAACACCTCGGCGACTTGGCTGTCCCTCTGATACACGAGGCGAGCGAAGACGCCCATTTCAAGCGGGCGCGTGGGCCAAATTCCCCCTCGTGGCAGTCAGCGGACCCCCTCGATGGTGAGGATGCATGAAGGCCGCACAGCTTCTATCGGACGAGGCGTGGATGACATGACGACAGGCCCCCTCGAATCTGAAACGAGCAAACAGATGATTTGCTCTCGCAGCAATGGTCGATGTCACGCGATTGCTTGATCCGCGAGTGCATCCGCATCGATCCACGACTCTGCTACCCAAACGCACATGCAGTCATCATCGTGCTGTTGGTGTGACCGACGACAAGGCTTTCAATTCAACAGAGACACACAGTCTCGCTTGTCCATCGTTTCGCTCGAGGCTACGTCAGTCAATTGGAATTTCAAGGGTTGCCGAGCTGCGGATCATTTCACACGCGGTCGGCGACCACCAAGACTGCCGTGCCTGGCGAGCTGCAGTGATTGATTCTGGCCTGCTCTCGGGGTTCAACTGTCAATCCCCCGCCGGTCACGGCCAATTTTGTCACAAAACGAGAACTGGGGTTCGTCCATGTCGCCTTCTGCTGCCGAGCTGCCCCCTTTGATGAGTGGAGCAGCATCGAGGCCCGCACGAGGCTCGGGGTCACCTAGACTAGGGTTCTCACTACTAGTCATCCCGCTTCCTCGTGTTGAATCGAAAGAGCCACGCGATCATCGCGGCTGTGCCTTGTCAGCGTGCGCTCCCTCCATTGCGACGAGCTCTGCGGCCAAGGTTGGCTCGACTCTTGTCGCTGACAACGCCGGCGACGCCCTGCCTGCTGAAACTCTCGCTTTCAACCGGGTCTCCGTTTGCAGCTTCCTCGGAAGGCGAGCTTCTAACTGATATATGTCGCTATGACGTCTCGAATTTTGACCCCACGGTGACTGCACTTTGACATGCTTCTGGCACTCGAATCGCCCGAGCTTGATTCCCTTGCCGGATGTATCCGGCTGTACATAGAGCTCGACCTACATCGCTTCAGTTCAGACACTTCGTCGTCACGGCAAGGTTCAGCTCACGCGGTTAAATCGCAATAGTTGGGACCTCGATTTTGACATCAGCGCGACAGAGCGGTGCGAGTCAGCAGGCAGCACCGCCTCTGCCGACGGCCGCACCCCGCACCTACGCCCAGCTGCAGCAGACGTCGGCGTTTGACAGTAAAAGCACGGGGCGTTGACCCCCAAAGTCGGGCATTGAGAGCTGTGCATCAGCGGACGCCGACCACTACGGGGCCAGTCGGCATCACGCATGGGAGAGTCGATGATCGTGACGCACGGCAAATTTTAAGGTTGGACACGGGGTCGGCCGGCCCCCTCAAAATCTGCCGCTGGGCCTGAGTGAGGAGGAACCAGAGGAAGGGAACAAAGGGCAACACGAGCTGCTGCCACAATTTCGAGGGTGCTCCATCCCAATTTAGCAGTCTGGGTTGAAAGCTGTCCGTTACCGCCGCAGCTGCCAGCGCCGCCCGCAGTCCGCCGCCTCCGTCATCGCCCTACCGCAGTCGTATCGACTTTCAAATGATGTTCGAGTCAGGAACGCACGATCAGGAAGGTTTGTGATCTGCAGCTTTCAACGACACAGCAGCAAGTCGCTTTCAGGGGCAGGTGGGTTCACGGCCAAGACCCACTCGCTCGCTTCTGCATCTCGCGCCCTATGATGTCGATCTTCCGAGAGGAACTTGAGGATCAGCTCGCTTCACGCTAGACGAGCGTTCCGATTTCGCAAAGCCACGCGATGGATGGACGGTCAACATAGAGTGCAGCCCCCTGCAACGATCAGGACCAGGGATGGCCCCTCGTTGCACCGAACTCGTCAGCTGTGCAGCACAGCCGATGGTCACTTCCGCCCTAGCTGCCGGTCCCGATTGCTTGCTCCGTCTGCTGTCATGCCGGGCTTCGCATTGTCCCACCTCCACTCTTGACTCACCGAACGACGTCCGTCCAGCTCTTTTGCCACTGCTCGCAGTGAGTTGACGTCTGGGCCCCCCAAATTTTTTCGATGGACAGCGCTGCCGGACGTTTCGTGTTACTTTGGACGATGTCGTGAAACACACTGTCACAATCAAGCACCGGGTCGTTTGCACGGCGAAAGATGCTTCTGAATGCACGTCAAAACTTTTTGAAGCCTTCTCCGTCGTTCCTACAGCGTCAGGTTGTCATGAGGTCTGGAGAATAAGCCGTGCTTTGCAGCGAGCAGGCCTCAAAACGCTCCCTCATCGGCTGCAGACTTCTACGACGGCTTCAAGGACGACCTCAATCGTATAAAGACCAGGTCTGAATCCACTTTGTTCCCTCGTCCTCCATCAACCACTCTCATAACATTAGACACATCACATCCTCTTCTTTGAAGACCCTCTTACACACTCTATACACCATGCAGTTCTCTACTCTCCTCGTTTCGGCCCTTGCTGCCGCTACCGCCGTCGTTGCCGCTCCCATGGAGAAGCGAGCGGGTGGCAACGGAGATGCGACTTACTTCTACCAGAACGGCAACCCCGGCTCCTGTGGTAACTACAACAGCGACGACGCCGTCATTGTTGCCGTCAACAGCGCGCAGATGAACAGCGGTCTTTGCGGCAAGCCCATCTGGATCCAGCATGACGGCAAGACTATCGAGGCCACAATTCAAGACACGTGCCCTACCTGCGACGGCAACTCGCTCGACCTCTCGGTGGGTGCCTTCAAGCAGCTCTCGGGTCTGGACGCCGGTATGATCCCCATCAACTGGTGGACCTAAGCGGCTCGCTCGAACGCACAGCGCGGAGGTGGATGGAAGCCGTGACGTCTGCGCCCGTCTAGATTGACAGGGCCACTCGCGGTCTTCACCACTCATCAACCTCAAAAGATCGTTTACTATACTTTGGGCAAGAAAGGACCACGATCCGTCCGGACCTCCCTCTGGCACTCGTGCGCTCCTCTTCTTTCATTTCTCATTTCAGTCCCACATTGTCATCGCTGCTCCATCCTGCACTTGTCGTCCCCATCTCTCTTGCATTTATTGTTGTCTTTCTACGTCGCATCCTACTGTCTTCCCTTAATGTTGCTGAATAGTAATCCATCATCCTAAAGACACCGCTTCAGGTGTTTGGATTTCTTGCCCTTTCTACGCTCCCGTTGGGATTGATTGTCAGACTGTACTACGCTTCGTTCCGGATCCTTTTTCATGCCGTAAGTGGAAGATGGACCTGTCTCATCGCATTGGCATGACAAGTTGCCTCAGCGGGACAAGGATAGGTTGGGTGGGTCTCTGTGGGCTCGAGGCGCTTCCAACAGCGCCAGCCAGCCTCGGCGTCCGTAGGGTCTAACAATGTCAGAAAATGCACCAGCTCGCTCTTCAAGCAGCGCCCCTGCCGTTCACGTCCCAGTGCCAGTCTAACAAGTTCTCATTTTTCAACGAGAGCCGCGGTCCCAATCTGCGCGTGGGCAGAGTTTTCGGTGTGACACACACAGGCAAGGCGGTGCGCACCGGGAGGAAAGAGTGCACTGAAACATATGAATTGCACCCGAACCGAGCTGCGGCCGCCTCGTTCGAAGTGGCAGCTGATCGTCGAGGTGACCATGATCTACGAGTTGCACTGCAAGCATTGAACGAGGCTACCACGTTGCGAGCTCGAGGAGCGCGAGAGCCTCGTGGTGATATAGGGCGAACACCGAGACTGACCCGACGAAGGCGTCGCTCTACCTCGATATGAACCCGACTCAAAGGCCGAATTGCCGGGATTCGAACTGCGCCGCCGTCACCAGATACAAATCGAAGCAATTAATCCGGTGTCAATACAATCCGGTCAATCTGCATTTCAGAAGGGAATTTGAAAGGTGAGACTGGCTGCAGGATCTGCCATTCGACGTCACTTTGGTCTCGCCTGCGCCTCGCTTCCGTTCCGCGCTACCATTTCACCACTGTGTAAGCTTCTGTTGTGGGTCCAACAAAAACCTTATCTGGCTTCCATAATAGGGCGAGGACAATAGTGCGGAGCCAAGGGTCGGACGAACTTGGGCAAACAGAGTTTGTTCGGTGTTAGCGGTCGCTGTCTGCCGTGGATCATCATGGTCATCATTTGAGTCAGCACGAGATGGCTTCTGGAAGGCCTGGAACTCTCGGCACCGCCAAAAAGCGAGGGAGAGGAATCCGAGATGGACTCTGGGGAAAAGGATTTTCGCCGTTGCGTTTGTGCCGGCGTTGCTGTGACTTTGTGGACAAACACCTGCAAGATGCTGCCACTCGGGTTGCCACCTTTTTGGCTTTGTTTGCTGCAGCACTTCATGGCCGGCAAAGCTTGATCTGCGTTTCCTGACAGCCTGCAGTGTGGGTTGCGTTAGTGCTGAACAAGTCGACCGTGGGAAATGCGTGAGAACCCTTATATTAGCACAAGCCTCGGGTCATACACAAAAGCACATGGATCAACTCGGATGGGTTTCCGAGGTCGATCGTGTGTGCCTGCACACAGCTCTGGTTTGAGTCTGGGCGATGAGAGGATGTGCCAAGTGCTTACTCAACCTCGCTTCGTCACGTAGCTCCAGCGATTTGATGCCGTGCGACTGTCTCTAGTTCGGAACGACCGAAACCTCCTGTTCCAGGCCGTTTGTTTGATGGCGCACCAGGCCAACGGTTCACAGCAGCAAGCATCACAAGGCGACACGGCAACTGGTTCACCGAATTCGCAAAGACAACGGCGTCGCAGCCAGACGGACTTTAGAAATTTTCCACCCAGCAGCAGCAGCAGCACCAGCAGCAGCAAAGAGGGCGTTTCCCCACCTTCCCGCGCTCGCCAAGGGAAAAACGGCAAGCCAAGTCTTGACTTTCATTGTCTGCCCAGCGTCCGTCGTGCTCGCGAGACCGTCAGATCCGAGATTGTGGCATTGCCACTCCTCCCTCTTCGCTGTTTCCGACGGATACCGCTGTGTGTCTTCATCGCCATCATCACCATCCTTCGTTCCTACTCACATCTCTAGATACGCTCTCTATAATACCGTTGGCCGTTCTTCTCTGCATCCTCTCTAATTCGGGCTCGCCTTCACTTGCTCTATCTACCCGGCATTCCTCGTACTCTTCAACCTTCATTGAGCCGACACTTCAGCAAGAGCTACCGCAGACATACTCTCAGCCTCAGCATCGTCGCTTAATCTATATAGCAGCATCAACAGCATCGCTTCCATCAGGAGGAGCCATTCGTCGGATCTAACCTGCACCTCTGCATTCCATTTCGGAAACCGCCTAGACAGCAATTGAAGCGTTCTGCTATATCTCTGCTCAGTCACACATAGCATCCTCGCCTCTGGCCAGCAGCGCTTGATGCCGTTTCAAACTTAAATTTGCACGGCTTCAGTCTCGACACTCGACGCTGGAGTCCAGCTGACTAGGCTCATCCGACAAAAGGTCACATTCATCACTACCGACGGAACACAGAACCACCGACATCGATCGGCTTCCCTCCGACCATGCCGCACCTCCCGCGCGTGTCCGCCTTCCCCATCGCCGCCGAGCGCAGCATCATCACCGCAGCCGGCGCAGCTCTTCACATTCCGGCCAAGGAGAAGGCCTCTCCACTCATCGGGCAGCTCGCACCCGAAATCGTCGCCCAGGATCATCTCGGGCGCGAAGTCTCGCTCCACTCCACCATCTCGCTCGGTCGACCCATCGTGCTCTACTTCTTCCCGCTGGCCGGGTCGCCGCATTGCACCAAGGAGTCGTGCTCTTTCCGCGATGCCGTGGGGACATCGCCCGTTTTCAACGATCTCAATGCGGTGGTAATCGGTATTTCCCAGGACCCGCCCTCTCGATCGCGGCGCTTCGTCGACGAGCACCATCTAGGTTTTCGGATCTTGCACGATGAGAACCGCCAGATCATGGATGCGTGGGGAGTAGGTCGCGGGTTGATGGGCCTCATCGACGGCAGGTGTACATTCATCATCGACCAAGACGGCGTCGTACGAGCCATGCTCGATGGCGTATGGGACTACAAAGGTCATCGCGACTTTGCCGAAAAGTGGCTCTGCCGGATCGAGCACGAGCTGTCGGGTCGCGAGCGTTTCTATGTCGAGCACGAGGCGGATGAGTCCGTAGCATGCGACGAAATGACACGCAACGTCCGGGTTGTGTACGGAGAAGTGGTGCCAGGGCGCGGGATCGCCACTGCACCACGATTCGGCGCAGCACCAGCAGCTACTAAGGGCAAGAGCTCCAAGTCAACCACGGCAGAGTCGAGTGCCATCGCCCGCTCTTCGTCGGCGGAAGGGGAGAAGGTCCCGCGGATGAAATCGCGACGCAATCTTCGAAACTGGCTCCGCCCCGGTGGCGTGACATACGACGAGCCGCTCCACGTCGACTCCCGCGTCAACCGGAGTGCGGACGATTTCCAACAGCGCGGTGCTGACCGGGTCGGTGCGCGATCCGTAGACAAGGCGAGCCGTGTGCGCTCCGGCATGTCCGCAGACCACGCGTCCGTCATTGCGCGGGACTTTGCCGAGCTGGGTCTTCGTTCGCGTCAAGGCTCTGGTTCAGGTTCGGGCTATGCGACGCCATCCACCATCAGCGCACGATCAGTCTCAACCGGCGAAACGAGCCACACGAGTCCCGGGTTGGAGCATGCGACCAAGCTCGCGGCTGCCATTAAGAGCGGCATTGCCAATCCCGAGCTTGAGCGATCTGGATCGGCGAGGCGGCGCGACACCGGGACGGTGAGACCCACCCGATCCAGCTCGCTGCTCAAGAAAGCCGAGACTACCACGGATACAGATGCAAAGGTGGACGGGATGGTCTATGCCAATGGAAACATTGCCAAGATGCCTCTTTTGCCGTCGGGTGAGAGGAGCACGGACAGCAAGGCCGCGACTCGGGGTGGCGGTCCGAGCGGGCATAGCGGAGACAGCTCTATTGGGTCTACCAACGGCTCCTCACTTCCTGTTCCGCCACGAGCGCGCGCCGTGGCAGCCGCCGCGAGTGCCAGGCTGTCTGCCCACTCGGCGAGCAGACCTGCCGACGACGATGAGGGGTACGATACGGATCGTGCCACTTCCACACCCATGAAGACCTCACTGTCCAACGGCCCCTGCCCTCGTGCTCTACCACCACAATCGCCCGCGCTATCCTACGCACCCCCCACCCTCCCCTCCTCCTGGTCCACCCCACACACGCGTCGTCCCTCCACCCAAACCCTGGATAGCCCATCACTCGATCGAAACGGGCCGTTTTTCACCCACCGTCCGTCGCTAGATCCCGCCGCCAGCATTTCGGGGGATCGACGCCTCAGCGCTACTCCCAGCCTGACTCCCAGTCAGATCAGCACCAGCATGGCCGGCAGCGAGTACGAGTATTCGCCCAGCTTGAATGGGAGCACGCATACGTTTGGTGGATTGGAGGATTGATACTCTTAGACGCGATAATTGCATTACTTTTTGGACATCGAGACGAGGTGTGTGGTTGATCGAGCCGCTGTGTTTGGGTCGAGTTGATCTGTGTGAGCCCCAAACGCACGGACAAGCATCAGAATCCGTGCGGCCGTCTCGCTGGGCTCAGCGCCGGACGTTGTTCATCTCAAGACATGCTGCTGCGAAAGCCGGCTGCCGGCTCGCAAGGGAAGAGTCGTTTACAAACCAGCCCCCACGATCGATCACAAGAAGAGCCGTGTTGGGTCAGCGACGTCCTTGACCCGCACGTCCACTCTGAAACTGTCCAGCTATCAAAGCGTCGTTCGCACACCACACCACACCCGTCCAAACAGCTTCTTCGCCCACCTCACCAACCCCCCGCACACACCCACATCTGGAACAGGAATCGTCTTGCATTTGTACACCACACTGTTTCTGCTTGTGACGAGGCCTCACTTCTTGCCGTTGGCCTGCGCCTGTGCTGCTGCCTGCTGTGCTTGTGCTGCTTGGTACTGTTTTTCAAAAGAAGAGGGGAAGCGGGCGGTCAGTGAGGTACGTGGGTGATGGGTGAGCGTTGCTGCGATGTGGCTGCGATCTGGGCGTCGTTTTCAATGCCTCCAAACAAACGCTTGAATACCGCTGCTCCTCGTTGCAAGCTCCTGTCCCGTCCTGTGGTTGCCTCTCCAACGTCCGTTCATCTTTCCGCCTCCATGCTCAATCGCAGCGCAAGGCTGACATGACCGCAAGCCACTGTGAGAGGCTTATCAACTCACCTTTTCCAAAAAGTCCTTCTCGCGGCGGAAGAGCAAGATGTGCGGTTCGGGCGCATGCACCTCGTAGTGCTCCCAGCCCATGCTCTGCGTGATACCGATGTCGCGCCATTCTTTGACGCTGAGGATGCGCAGCACGCCCGGTTCCGACGGGTCAAAGTACGTTTCCGGGAGGAGCTTGAGCATTGGTTTGGGGAGGATCACGTGGCTGTTCGTTGGCGGAAACGTCAGCCGGAAGGAGAAATGGGGCGAAAAGGGAGGGGAGGGTGAAATCAGCATGAGGGTCTGACAATGAAGCTCAGAATAGGGGTCTGAGGATGGGTGCGGGCTGGGAGGGTGAAGACATACCGGTACTCCCACTCATCGTCATTGTACTTGTCGCTGTAGTGAATTCTGCGGCGTCAAACGTTCGAGGGTGTTGTCAGTATATGGGGCTCGTCTTTCCGCTATGCATGCCCCGAGTGAACGCTCGAACGGCTGGAAGACGTCGAGCGAGCAGCTGGCGGGGGCAAGCCAGTGTCGATTGCGCAAACGTACCGCTCGACGTAATCGTCGTAGGTAGGCTCCTTGACGCCGTCCTCCTTCGACATGATGGCGGCTTATTTATACGGCTGGCTCGTTGTGTTGTCTGATGCTAGGATGAGATGGCGCTCGTGTGTCCGCTCGAGGGGCTTGCGTAGCTCTTGAATGTCTCCGGTCTCAAGCTTGTATCCGCACCTGTACAGGAGGGGCTGCTCTCTATTCTACGAGTGCGGGTGGTAGAGGGGAAAGGACTTCGAGGCTGCTCGCTCTCCTGTTGCGCTGTCGATTTGGGTCGTCCAGGGTGATGATGGCGAGCGGAACGAAGAAGCGACGGAATGCGGAGGTGTTGGGTTGCGGAAAGGAAAGAAGCGCACAGGCTCGCTCGGGAATGAATGAATGGAAAAAGCGCGCTCTCTCTTCATCTCATTCTGCGCAGCGCAGCGCTCTTTCAGCCAGCACTCACACTCAAATTTCCAGGTGTTGGTCTCTTTGGGCGGGCGAGCGAGCGGCGCGTCTTTTGTTCGCTGCGCGGTTCTGCTTCCCCCGCTGCGCTCCAAATTTAGGATTCCGCCTGCGCTCCTCAACCACGCGACAAGAGCATCCAAGTTGGCTCAAAGGCTCGTCACTTCACCTTGTCACACTTTGAGGGCGTAGAATAGAGAAAGCGGAACTGGTATTTGACATTCTTCATCTGCGACACATGCGAGACCCGTCTACGACCCGCCATTCACCTTGTCCCTCAGCTGACCGATGAACTGCATGTAGCTCGGTGTCTGCTCGAACCTGTCCTCGATCAGCAGGCTCAGGGCCCACAGGCGCAGACTCGGCTCGCCGTCCTCCTTGACCACGTACAGGTGCGGGCGGTAGGGACCTCGTCGGCTCTCCCTGATCCTCTGTACAATCGCATTAACGCGCTGGTTCATGCTGTTGTCCAGCTTGGGAAGCGTCGTCTTGCCACCGCGCAGCGTGCCGTAGTTGGCCACGTCAAACACGTCCATGCACAGCTGCGGCACCGCTTCGCGACCAACCCAGAGGAAGATGTTCTGTCCGTCTTCGATGAGGTACAGCCCGTGACGCTCGAATCGTTCGGAGGTGAGGTTGAGCTTGAGAGGCATCACAAAGCCCTTTTCTGCCACCGTGGTGCCGGCTTCGGGGGCCATGTTGTGCAGGCAGTAGAAGCTCGGATGGATGTAGGGGATCAGCTGCTGCGCCGGCAGCGTCGTGAGCAGTGCTTGAGCGTAGGCACGCAGATCCGACGGGATCGAAGACGACTGTCGGATACCGACGTGCTTGAGCAGGGAAAGCACCAGCAATGGCAACTGCGCCATGTTCTGCGCGATCGCAAGCTGAGGGCTGGCGCCGGAGCCTGCCGAGGTCATGGTCGACTTGTACGTCGAGAAGACGTCGACCAGCTTGTTGAACAGCGCATCGCGAGCGTCCTCGAGTCGAGAGTGGATCGCACGCTCCACCGCCTTGTTGGCCAGAAGCGTGGCGATGGCGACCTGATCGGCGTTGGCATACACTTCGGACATGGAGCTGGTGGTCGGCAGCGCCAGGTTGACGACACGGATCCGACGCTCGCCCGAGCTGGTACTGTGCAGCACCACCGACTGGAACACGACAAAGGGTGCGGTGATCGTCTCTTCAATCTCGCACTCGATGGCGTAGCTCTGGTCGAGCGGCACAGCGGGCAGAGCCAGCAGATCGGTGGATCGAACGAAAAAGTTGCCGTGGAAGGCAGTGGCGCGAATACCCTTGGTGGCTCGCAGACGCAGCACAGCCTCGTAGCTGATGGGACTGGCGAGCACCTCAGAGAACTCGTGCGAGAACTTGACAGCGTCTTCAGATCGGCCGGCGTGGAAGGCCGGGTAGAAGAAGGTCTGACCACCCGTGTAGCGTGGAAGGCACGAGAGCGTGGCGACATCGGTGTACGAGGGCGCGAAGAGGAACATGTCGACCGAGACTTGCGATCGGGAGCAGTCGATGGGGAAGGTCTTGTAAAAGGTGGATGCCGCAGCCAAAAGGGTGCTCTCCTTGGCAGTGCCGAGCAGCTTGGGGTCCTCTCGACTCTTGAGCGCGCCAGGTCCGACGCTGGGGAGCGAGGCGGTGAGCACCATAATCTTACCGCCGATGGGCGAGATGAGCTTGTACGCAGCTTGCAAGGCAGCACCGAGCGCGGATCCCGTGACGAGCGAGTCCTTGTACATGTCGCCTAGCCTCTGCAACAACGCGTCGACACCGGCTCTGCATTCAGTAAGGTTGACGAGCAGGTCGTTGGGCTTGGGCAGGAAGACGTCATCCAGGTCGCTGACGACGAGCATCTCGGGTTCAGTGCTCTCGGGAGTGATGCTGAAGAAGTGAAGGCTGGTGTCGACACCGATGATGCAGATCTTGGCGCGGTTGTCCGAGTTGGGCAGGCGGTCGAGCGTTTCGAGAATGGTGCGAGCAGCGGTTGCGACCATACCGCTGTTGATGGCCTGGTAGCTGACGTCGATGAGGAACGTGTAGACGGGAGGCTGAGGAGGTCGAACCATGTATTCGCGAGGAGCGATGAACTCGACGACGCTGTGGTTGAGCTCGGCTCGCTGCCATCGGTCTGCTGGCTGATTGGTCTCCGAGTTCCAGTCAAAGAGCTGAGGTACTTCATTGCTGATGTTGCACATGCAGCACTTCCAGCGATTGCCGTTCTCGATGAAGGTGACGTAGGGGTTGATGTAGGTTCGGCACCTGCGACAACGCGCGATGACGGTGTCGGTCACGACCGGCACGGGCTCGTCACCGTCTGCCTCACGCACAGAGCGATAAGGACAAAGGATGAGACCGAGGGGGATCTTGGACTTTTGGAGGAGCGAGGAGGTGGTGGGAACGGCGTTGAGCGTGGATCGCTGGTAGGAAGGATCGGCGTTGGCTTTGGGGTTGGTCGAGACGCATGCGTTGGGCGGCAGACGGATCTCGGGAGGAGGACGTTCAAGTTCGTTGACATTGGGCTGAGCGCCGCTGATGTTGACGGTCTGAAGAGTGCTGAGCTTCTGCGCCATACCACCCGCGCCCATTCCACCGCCCACGCCCATGCCCTGGAACTGATTTGTGAGGCCATGGACACCACCAGCAGCGTAGCCGGGCGCAGCGCCAACAGCTGATGCACCAGGAGCGGGAGACATGCCAGGAGCGCCAGGAGCAGGCTGAGCGGCACCACCGTACTGCGAGGGAGCCTGTTCTGGAGCGCCAGGAGTGAAGAGCTGAGGCTGAGCATCTTGGGCGCCGGGGTAACCAGAAGCAGCAGTGGCACCAGCATCAAACCCACCGGCATAGCTGATACTGTTGGCGGCGAGGTGAGCTGTTGGGTAGGCGCGTCTTCGGCTAGCACCAGGACCGACGGAAGCCTGCGAAGGAGAGCCCGCAGCAGAAGGGCTGAGAGGAGCGCCAGGACCATGCTGTGGAATGGGACTGAGAGACGGGCCTCGCATGCCGGATGGTGGCTGGATGGAAGGCATCGACATTCGCGCCTGACCTTGAGGGTGGGTAGGACGCTGCTGCTGCTGTTGCGAAGGCGCCGCACCACCGGGTCCAGCGGAGGGGGGCTGCCAGCTGGTTCGGCCGGTCGCTGTCTCTACAAAAACCTGACGACCCGCATTTTGGTCCCACTGCGAGACCCAGCCGGGAGGCAGCTGAGGCGGCGGTTGAGCCATATTGTGGTGCGAGGCGAACAGTTGGTCGCAACCTGCGTGAACGAAATGAGTGTCGTGGTAGTGCGCCTTCCAGTCGTTGGGTGGATGCGGTACGAATCAAGACGACCGAGTCGAGATGGCTGGAATTGGTGGGACGCTGGATGGATGGATGGGTGGACCAAGAGGCACCTGCTCGATGAAGGCGGTGAGCAGAGATGCGAAGAGGCGAGGACGGGCGTGATGATGAGAAGGAAGGAGTGGTGAGCAGCTGATTCTTCACGCTGTCTCGAGAACACGACACCTGGCAGCGTGGAGACAGATTCAGAGGCTCAGCAGCGGAGGGCGTGTGCAATCTGCGGATTGGCTGGGCGTTGGCCGGTCGAGCCACCTTGGCTTCGCTCTCCTCGCTTTCTGTCTCAAGAAGATTCAACTTGCAAGGCAGCACAGCGCGGAACGTGAATTTCAAGGTGGAATTTAGAATCGACTGACCTTGAGCAGAGCAGGGCTTGTCCCTTCCACGCTGTCACCCTCACAAACATGAACGAGATCGGACTTTGCAGTGTCAGATCGGGTCAGATCCTCAGACGAGACCCTCTTCCTCAAATTTGGTGCCGTCAAAGCGTAGCCGGCTTCCGCAGGTCTTCTTCTCATCCTTTTCACCTCTCCCGCACCCTCAAGTCGTCTCATCAAGACATCAACGCTCCCCTGTCCGTTGCTCAGAAAGAGGTAGCATAGACGGTCGGAGATGTCGCGCCGCGGCCATGGATCCAACTGGCAGGGCTCGCATAACCCCAACATGGCACCGCTACCAGCAAGACCACGCGGAGGCATAGGCAGTTCCAGCTCCAGCACACCCGGCTACGGCGGCCACTCTGCCTCACCTCATTCTGGCTACGGCAGTCCCAGCATACGAACACCTGCGTACGGCGACACACGCAGTCCTCTTCCCGAGCATGCTTCCTCCTCTGCATCCTCTTCGGGTCCTGAAGGCGCAACGACGCTCTTTGTGGGCAGCATTTCACCCGGCATCTCCGACTCGTGGCTCACTCAGCTGCTCGAAGCGTGCGGCAACCTCCGATCCCTCAAGAGGGCCACCAAGGCGTTTGGATTCGCCGAGTATGCGGATCCGGACTCGGTGCTTCGCGCGATCGAGGTGCTCCACGGACGAGAGCTGCCGTCGATGGGAGCGGAAGCTTCGGCGCCGTCCAAGAAGCTTCTCGTCAAGGCAGACGAGCGCACCAAGCGCTTCTTGGACAACTATCAGCAGGGCCGCACTGCTTCCTCCGATGACAGGTCAAGAGAGGGTCGAGCGCTGGCGGCAGTCAAGGACATCGTGCGCAAGATGTCGGATCCTCATGCCGAAGTCGAGACTGATCCTTCAAAGCCTGGCTACGTCGTTCCTGATCATCTCAAGGATCTTCCACCGGAGGAGCTACCAGAAGATCAGCGAGCTACCGTGCTTTCTGAGATCGAGCAGTTCCGTCTGCAAGCCGCGGCAAGAGATGCCGAGACCAAACGCAGAGAAGCAGAATACGAAAGGCAGAGAGCCGTAGAGCGTGCTAGGAGGGAGAATATGCAGGCTACAGCAGCAGCGTCTTCCTCGTCCTCTACACGGAATGGCCGCCCAGCCGACGACCCGCAGAGCTATCGCAGACCCGTCGAGTTCCACGCTGCTTCCTACGACCCCAAGACAGATGCGGCGCGCGAGCCAGAGGAAGTGGACGAGCTTGCAGAGCAGGAACGACAAGAACGCAAAAAAGCGGCAGCAGCAGCTCGTGCAGCCGATGCCGAACGAGCCTATCTTGTACGCGAACGTCAACGTCTTGCGCATTGGGACAAGGAGCAGGACCGCGAGCAGGTTGAAGCGGAAAAGTGGGAGCGCGAAGGTGTTGCCATGCTCCGAAGGTACGAGGATTGGAGTGACGACAGCGCGACACGTAAGGAACTTTTCTACACCGACCGACAACGATGGCGTCAATTCCGCGCATCGGCGAGACGCAGAGAGGAAGAGGCAGACGGAAGGGATCGTGTCGCCGAAGCCGCAGAGAAGGCTCGAGCTCAGCAGGAGAGCGAGGACTTCTTGGCAGTGCAGGCTGCCGAGATGGCAAAACTCACCGAGCAGCAGCGCGCGTCCGGCGTGTTGGTGCAGGAAGGCGGTGCGCTTGCGCCGATCAAGTTCAACTTTGCCGGCAGCAACAGCAAAGCGGACAAAGCAGACGCTGGTGCTGGCGTTGCAATCGCGACGAATGGGGCGAGTGCGCAGCACGGCGCTGGTGTGGCAGTCAAGACCGCACCGGCTGTGCTCGGCGACGCCGACGAGGATGAGCAGTCCAAACGCACAGGCAGACTCAAGCACATCAAGCTCGACAACGATCTGCCGGAAGACGTCAAGGCGGCTAAATTGGCTCAGCTGGCAGACACGTTGCCCAAGGATACGGCATCGCTGTTCGCACAGTCGCCCAAGTGGGAGTACGTCGACGAACGAATCATCCAGTTCAAGTACAGGCCTTGGGCCGATGCCGAGATCGAAGAGAGTCTCGGCGAGAAGGTGGATGAGTTGGTGACGGTCATCATCGAGGCATTGCAGAATCAGTCGAGCGCGACGGCGCTCGTGGAGCAGGTCGAGCCAGTGAGTTTCACTATTGCCATCGAGTATGAAGACCCTTTGAAGCGATTACTGATTATATGTCTCCTCTCATCTTCGATCCATACAGGTTCTGGCAGACGAAGCCGAAGCGTTTGTCGACAAGCTCTGGCGCCTCGTCATTGTCGATTCGCTCGCCGCCGCCGAGGGTATCAACGTCTAGACAGCCACAACGAGTCCGTACACGAGTCAACACGACGCACAAGACACATCTATCCTATCGCCAGCTGCCAGATTCTCAGTTGAGTCCCACTCAAGAACACCATTTCGTATGCCCCCTTGTATCACTACCGACCCCACTGCGCGTTGCTCATCCACACAATTTTGCCTTTCAAGAAGCTAGCGCTGGTGAGCGCCATCGAGCGAGTCAGGACGGGACCGCAACAAATCGGCCCGTAGTTTCAGTGAGTAGAACAAGATGCCGTAATGTGAGGTGCTGCTTGATGCGTCGATGTTCCGTTTATACAGCCGAATGGGCGCAGCTCTCGTGATTCTGTAAGTGAGTGTGACCATGCCTTTCGACTTCTTGGAAATGCACCGATCGTCTCCGAGAATGCGTCGAATCATCGTAGGATTGCATGTGCGCTGTGTGCTTGTCTTGTGCGGGGTATGATGAATGAGAGTCTAGAGACTTGTTGAGAAGGAGCAGTCTGCACCACCACTGATCTATTTGGCCCTCGGTCCAGCGTTGTCTCGTTTAGTGCAACTTGTCCACCTTTGCCTCGACCAACTCGATCCCCTTCTCCAACTCCTTCGTGGGCTCCATCCCTGCACTCTTCATACTCAAGAACGTATTCCAAAAGATGCTGACGACGTTGACGAACAGCAATCTCGACGAAACGGGGACAAGGGCCATGTTGAGGGTCTGAACGGGGATCCAGAGGCCCCAAGCAGTCTTGAGGGTGGGCCACCAGTTGTCTTTGACTTTCTGTTTTGCTTCCGCCGGTCTGCCGCCAGCCATTAGGGTGGTGATGGAGAAGAAGGCGGCTACGAATGCGGGCGAGGCGATGCCTTGATCGAGCGCGACTTTGGTTGCGATGTTGGCCGTCTTGGAAGAGAACTGGACGCGCTCGAGGACGCGACCGAACCAGATCGATGCCAAGGGCGAGAAGACTGCACCGCCGTAGAGAGCCAGACGACCGGTACGGATGTAGTCGTGGTTCCGACCCCGCTTCTCCACGAGCTGTTGCGCGATCGTGTCTCCTGTAGCAAAGAGTACGCCCCCTGTAAGGCATTGGCGTGGGAACGTGGACGACGTCGCCGCGATGAAGCGCGTGAATGCTGACATGATGTGCGAGTTCTAGCGATGATGTCCGAGCGAGAGAACGGTGGTGGTGGTGGTGGTGTTGGTGGTACAGACGATTGAGATGGAGTTGCACAAAGAGGTTGCGGGATTGACAGATGGATAAGAAGCTTTGTGTCGGTCTCACTGCGCCGAATGACGCACGAACCTCCCCACTTTTACCGACGTCACGCCCAGACTTTTTTTCACGGAATTCGCCGACGCGAAACTCAATCCTTGCGGCGTTCTTGATTTCACCGTCATCAGCCAACACACCAACACTCCAGAATCATTCGGATCGATCAGACGGTGGTAGAGAGGGCAGGAAAAGACTGTTTGATGATGCTGATGGGTGTCTTGAGGTTGTTCAAGGCCTCACTTTGGTTGCGACGGCTGCTTGAGATACTGACTGCGCAACGCGGCGTCGCTGCTTCTCTGCGACCTCAACCCTCCGGGCACACCGATCTCGGACCTGGACTGGGCATATCCCGGTCTTGCACCTCCTGCGAAGGCCGCCGCAGCTGCCGCCGTCATCGTCGGCTGCTGACCCCAGGCACCACCAGCCATCATGGGTGGGTAAAACATCGGCTGGCCGCCATACATCTGCGGATGGGGTGCTGCGTAGTACGCCTGCGGCGCGAAGGCTGCTGCAGCCCCGCTGGAGCTGGGATGGCTGGTGACAATCGGCGGCGGAGCGGCCATCATCATCGACAACATAGGCTGCGAGGTCGAAGTTGGCGCTGCGCCGTTGCTAGTGGCCGCGAGGCCGTTAGATGGAGTATCGTAGAGCGGGCCACCCGAGAGGCTGCGTTTGTGCGATCGCGTTCGCTCTTTCTGTGGCCCCTTGCCATTCTCCAACGGTTGCACACCCACGCCTTGCGCAGGCTGCATGAATGCCGCCAGCGGTGGCCCGTTCGAGACCTGCGTCGGAACAGGTGGCACACCATTCCCGTTCGCGCCCGCTCCCAGGTTGTTCCCTCCACTCAACGTGGGCCCGATCGCACTCGCCGCCCGACCAAAGTACTGTTGCTGGTGCCGCTGCAGCATCAGCTGGTAGTGCGCCTGCTGCGCCAGCGCCGGGTTCGCCATCATAGCCATGTAATTACGCATGTACTGCTCCTGCATCTCGGCCTGATTCTGCTGCATGGCGAGCATCGAGAGGTGCTGCGAGCTGAGGAGATTCGGGTCGATGTTGCCGCCGCTCGCGGAGGCGTCACCGTGAGCAATGTCCGCAGGATTGGTGCTGGCAGGTCGGAGGATAGGAGGCGTGGACAGAGCGCGTGGAGGCGGACTGGCGAGGGAGCTGCGCGATGAATTGCTCAGTGCGGTCGAGGAGGTGCGCGGCGCCGGCGACAAGGTCGAAGGGCGGACGGCGGCGGGCGAGAGGCCGCGAGGCACGTCCGGGCCGCTAGCAAACCCGTTCGGTGGAGAAGCAGGACTTCGTGGACTTAGCGGAGAAGCCAAGGGTCTGTCACTATTGGTCGGATACGTCGGGATCGCGGTCGGTGCAACGTCACCCGCGCCAGGCTGCACCGTGAGCGAGGCACTACGAGGCGCCACAACGGGTCTAGCACCGCTGCTCTCGATGGTGGGCAGCGCGGACAGACGTCCTTGCTCGGTGCTACGTCGCGCTCGACCAGCTTGCGCAAAGGTGCTCGGGAAACCCTCGTTGGTGGGAGTGGTGGTCTCGGCTGCCGCCGACAGCGACCGACGATGGTCAGCCCGAGTCGCTTGTTGAGGCTGGTTCTCGATTTCGCCAATCACGTCAATCAGCGTTCGTCTTCTGCCAGACCCTTCGCGCAGATTTGCATTTGCAAGGACGCGGGCAGAGTCGTACCCTTGTCCACGAGCCGAGTTGACTGGCGAGGGGCCATCAAGATCTGGCTGCCTATTCTCGCTTTTGATCGAGGGGCTTCGCTGATCCACAGTGACGTTGGAGCCTCCAAATAGACCGGAAAGCGTACCGGCAGCAGCGGCTCGCACCGCGGCGAGCTGATCCGTGTACGTCAAGGGCGAGCCTGTCGGTCTGTTAGCAGGAAAGTTGCCATTTGTCGTTGCAGTGTTGATGTTGATGCGGGGCTGATCCAGCGATTTGCCTCTCCTCCCGAAATCCTCAGACGACATGGACGAGCGCTTGGTGTTGGGCACCGCCATACTAGGGTACATCTCACTGCTGGATCCAGCACGAACATTGGCCGGTCGTTCGGAAACAAAGAGCCTTCCGAGCTTGGCACCGACTCGATCGATGGACGAGGTAGCCCTCAGCACCGCCCTTTGAATGTCATCTGTGACCTGATCCAACGTCTTGCTTGCATCGATCGTCACCCATCTGCCACCGTGCGCCTTGACGTCTTGAGAGACGCGGCTGAATGCGTCGCGTACCTTGGCTTGAAATTCGAGCTTCTCGTACCTCTCCTCGCCATAGCCACCCCTAGCTGCGGCAGTTTGTGCATCGAGGTCGAGGAACATGGTGAGATCTGGCAAAGGCAGGCCCACGTCCGGGTTGCGACACCAGTCGTAAGACAGGCCTTTGGCGACCGAGTAGGCGATGCCTGAAAAGGCGTATCGGTCGCACACGATGCTCTCACCCGCCTCGAGCGTCTTCTTGATCGAAGAGACACACTCCCAGCGATTTGCTGAGAAGAGCAGGTGGATGGCCTGGTCGTCGAGGTCGCTGGTCTGAGCGAGATACGAGTTGATCATTATACCGATGGCTGTGGTCCTCTCTGGGAACTTGATGGCTTTGGCCTGGAGATGTTCGGCGAGCCGTTCCACCTGCGTGCTCTTGCCAGCTCTGTCGAGACCCTCGACGACGATGAAGAAGCCCCGCTTGCGGCGTTGCGAGTCATCAGCGATGCTCGGACTGGAAGCAGCAGCGGACAAGGTGGCCGGGTCACCAGATCTGCGTTTTTCAGCTACCGAGGTGCGGTAGGCATTAGGATGCGTCTGGGCAAGCGCGGCTTCCATGGCAGCGAGATCTTGCGATGGTGTACGAGACCTTTGCGGCCTGACAAAGCCTGGGCCACCTTGCAGGGTATCGAGGGTAGGAATGGTGCCGCTCTCGCTCCTTTGGCGTGCAGCCTGACGGAACTTGGCGGCCGAGATGCTGGCCGGTCTTGCGTTGGGTATCGGGCTGGCAGTTCGGCCGACCTCAGCATCAGTGATGTAGCGTGGCTCTGGCAATTCTTCGCCTGGAGTCACGTACTCATCGACCGAGATCATGCTGTGAACTCTGGAATGCGACTGCGTGCTGGGGTCGTCGGCTGCGGAAGCCTCGCTAGGCGAGCGAACATTGCGGAAGGAATGCAGACTGAAGCTCCCATTCGGATTCTCGACGGTGGGCGTGGTAGAAGGCGATTGCGCACGAGAGTTGGATGCGGAGGCTGGGTTGAGGTACGGATCCGAGGGTTTGCGACTCGACGAGGCAGACAGATGATTGCCGCTGAATTTGCGAGTCCTGGATGTGGATGGTGGGTATGCTAGTCGAGCCTTGGGGTCATCCTGATCCGGAGTTGACGATGCGGCAGCAGTACTAGAAGACTGTGGATGTGAAGACGTCACCGGTGAGCGTGGCTCGGAGAAGGATATCCTGGGTGCTGGACGTGCGACTTCAGGTGCTTTGTGAACCGAAAGACGGCTCGCGGGTCTTGGCACCTCGACGCTAGGAGATGGCTGGTGTGATGAAGAGTGGAAGGAGGTGGTGCTGCGATTTGGTGGTTTGCGAACGACTTCGAACGACGGCGTCTGCTTCTTGGTAGGTTTGAAAGCGTCCAGTAACCGAGACGTCCTTTTGGTGGAAGAAGACTTGGAGTCAGTCGAGGTGTCGGCTTGGTCTGCACCTGTGGAAGCTCGCGACTGGCGAGACGATTGGCCGAAGTTTCGTAGTCGAGAGAAGGTGCTGCTAGAAGTCATGCCGTCAGCGCGAGGCGGGGTATCGGGATCGGGTTTGCGCAGCGACAAGGTGGAAGGAAAGTTCTTGAGCCTCATGAGGTCCATGGAGACCTTTCTCTTGGGACTGGGATCGTGGCTTCCGGCGTCAGCGCGCGACGACGTCGCGGACGACTTGAACTGCGACATGGTAGGCGATCTTTCGAAGGCGATTGCGGCGGGTCCCGAGTCGCCAACGACGGTTGAATCGGTCCAGGAGCAGAGGTTGCGTCCTCTCAGGCTTCGGACTCCATTTGCTGACGACGAAGGTGCGATTCCGATGGGTATAGCTCCAGTCGACTCTTTGAGAAGAACAGCAGATGGAAGTCCGGAGTTAAGGTTTGGATCCAGGCTCGCGTCCCGTTCCAATCCGAAGCAGCCTTGATGTGGTGGATGTGGTGTCTGAGAGAGAGAGTTGCGACCATGCGGTAGGATCGATGTTCGGGTAGGCCTTTGCTCTTGGCGCTGATCCTTGCCGAACCAACAGAGGAGCGAGAGGGTGAGTGTGTGACGTTTGTCGTGTGCTGCTGCCTCGCTTTTTGACTGTTCAGGGTCTGCAGAACGCGCTCCGTGCCGAGACATTGCCGCCCGCGTTCGCTCCTCGGAAAAACGTCAAATGGAAGGGGCAGGGCAGCAAGCGATCCGTGCGAGAGACAGGGTTGCTGTCGAAGATGCAAGTGGAGTTACTGGCTGAGCTCCTGAGACCTCTTCTGTATCACAACCCTTCTTGTCATCACCCTCGATCATCATCGGCAGCTCCGGGCTCGAGTCCAAGATGCCTCCAGTCAAAGCTGAGCCTGGCTCAGTCAGCATTAAGGCTGAAAATGGAAGAGCCAACATACAGCGACCGCGTCCAGCCAACGGCAGCACCAACAACGCTCGCTCCAACCTCAAGGCCGAGGAAGACAGAAAGGATCTGCCACCGCCACCACCAACCACATACCGCGACATTCCGCTGCTTTCAACAAACTGCGGAGAGTGGCTCACTCATCTCATGAAGTTTGCCCATCACACGCGAGTCGACCCCAATGACACGGCACAGTTTATCCCCCCGCTTAAGCTGAACCGCAAGAATCCACCCAGGCTCAAGCTGCCTCGGCCCAATCCAGGCGATCCCATCACGGACAAGTACAACAGACCCATGATGGGCAAGGATGGGCAGCCTCTCACGTGGCCAGGTCCCGATGACGACTTGCAACGTATCGAAGAAGTCATTAAGAAGGAGATCGCGCCTAAAGGGCCGGGTGCCGACCAGAGTCTCATCGCACCTGGCGGCAGCGCTCGTCCACCGAAGAGCAAGCTCTTCCAGAAGAAAGTGCGCGAAATCCACAAAGCGGCGGATAGCGCTAGAAAGACTATGAAGGAGGAACACTTTCCATGGGTGCTTGAGGATTTCGAGACATCAGAAGAATGGGAGAGCATTCGCACACCAATCCCTACCGGTGCTCGAGCGTTGCAGGATCACATCGACGAGCTCAAGGGCAGACAGGCCAGCTTCAGCAACAAGGACGCAAACGGCGACATCAAGATGCAGGATGTCAAAAGCACAGTCAAGCCCGAACATGGCGTCAAGCAAGAATCGTCTTCCTCCGCCACTTCGCACGCACCGTGGATCGGAAAGCTCGAGGGCGACTCAAGCTCGGAAGCATCGTCGCTTCACGTCCTCTTCGTCTTTGATGAGCGTGACGCAGGTGGCTTTAAGGTGGTTCCTGTCTCGCGCATGTACAAGTTCCTGCAAAAGCCCAAACACTCGACCATGTCCAACGAGCAGGTCGAGCAGGAATACCAAAAGTACCAGAAGACCAAAGAGATGGATCGCTGGGCCATGCGCAACAAGCCCATCGCCTCTGGCTCTTCTATCACCAAGCAGGAAGACAGTGCAGCATGGCGAAGCTGGCCTCAGGTCAACCGACTCTCGCTGCCCACGGGCATGTCGTTTGGTGCAGGCCGTCGACGCAACCTCATGGCTGTGCATGGCGGAGAGCTCTTGCGCGATGACGACGACGATGACGCGAATCGCTCGCGTGCAAGGAAAAGGGAGGACAGTCCAGGTGGTGGCTATGGCGAGCTGGATTACGAAGAAGAGTTTGCCGACGACGAGGAGATCCACGATCCTGAAGCCGATATCGTGGATGACGAGGAAGCCAAGGAGCTCGAGGAGCGTCTCAAGCGAGAGATGGCGCGTGCCAACAACATAGGCGACGACGAAGATGCAGCCGAAGAGGAAAGCGCGCCCGAGGACGAAGATCAGATGTTGACGGGAAGCGGCAAGCAGATGATGAAGATCATGCGAGCGCTGGGCAAGCGCGAGGGCAATGAGGCATACGAGAAGGACGACGATGGACGCAACCCTTATGCCACCGATGATTCGGAAGAAGACGAGGAAGAGTCGTACGTTGCCAATCCCGAAAAGGCCATCCAGCTGGCACGCGAAGAGCGCGAGAGGAAGGAGAAGGAAGAGGCCAAAACCAAAGGCAAGTCAACCCCTGGCACTGGATCCGGATCCAACACTCCAAACGACCGCGCCGAGGAGCGTCCGGTCACTGTCACTACCAACAAGACACAACGTCCTGGAGCTGGACATGCAAGTCTGGCACAGCGCGCTACGAGTCCCACCCGTGGCGCTTCCAAGATCGGCAGCAAGCAAGTCAGTCGTTCATCGAGTCCCAGCCTGGCTCGCAGTGTCAGCCCCGGGCGTGCAGAGTCGCCACCGCTGGCCTCTGCTGATGCAGGCGCTGCTTCCTCATCGGGACTCAAAAGACGAGCCGACAGCCCGACAACACCCAGCTCGAGCGTGGCTGGCTCGAGTGCAGCCATCACTCATCCAGAAGCCAAGCGTGCCAAGACGGGCAACACTGGTTCTAGAGCCGGTTCGCCGTCAGGCTCACCGCCAGGATCCAAGCCAGCCTCGCGAGCCGGCAGCCCTGGAGCGCCTCGTGTGCCTGCCAACGCCGTGGAGGCCGAGATCATTCAGCTGATCCGCGAAGGCAAGATTGCTAACACGAGCGAGCTGGTGCAGCATTTCCGAAAGCGCTTGAAGTCGGAACCTCACATCAAGGATCAGCTGAGCGCAGCGGTACGAAAGGTGGCGGTGATGGACAAGGCGACCAACCGACTCAAGCTCAAGGATGGATTCTGAGCCGGCGGTAGCGTGTCTGATGTCCGATGCCAACGAGATGTGCAACAGTCAGGTCTGCAAGCGAAACAATGGAGCAGATTGTAGGAATTTACGCCCAACCACACGCTTTGCTGCGGGGCGCTGGAGATCCGAAGTCATGTCACCTGCACGGGTGTATAAAAGCCAAGAACCAGACTCAATCCACAGTATGCTGAACTTCTACCTGTCTCTTAATGCCATCCATACGAGACCAGCCAAAGCAATTGGATCTCTGCTTGGCAAACAGCTGAACGACGGGGTCCGCTCAGAGAAGGAAAAGGAGTGCGGAGAAAGCGAGCTGGCCCGCTTCCGCAAGCGAGGCGAATAGTGCCATCGCGCGGCGTATAATTTCCAGTCGAGGATCGAAAACGCAGCTCGTGAAGAGAGTCTTTTGCTGTCAAATGCACGCCTTACCGCTCGAATCAAGACACACACACACACACGCACGCACCTGGAAGTCCGGCGCTTGGAAATTCGAAGACGCGCCGCCCTAGCGAAAAGGCACGGGAGCAGAGGACCCTTGTTGCTCGTCCAGAGACTTGGCCTTGCTCGCTTGTCTTTTGAAAAAAGGTCGGAGAATCAGCTGAGAGAGATCGCGAGAGATGCTCTGGTTTGAGTCCAACACCTTCGAGCTTGCCGCGCTCAGACCCTTAGCAGAATTCACCCTTTCGGATTCGAGTTCTTTTTGGTACGCACTCGAGCGTGATCTTACTCTTGTAGGCACAGCAAGGCAACATCATCGAGATGCGCTCAACGAGGCATCATGAGCCAAGCAAGAAGGTGTGAAGGCGTCGATGTCCACTGGTACGCTGCAACAGACACGCCTCTGATTCTCTCACAAGCGCGCTTACCAAGAGGAAGCCCATTGAAATTCGATGTCGCGGTGTGCTGCCCTTTGTTTTCGCAGAGCTAGGAAAACAAGCGATCCGAGACAGGGTTCGCTTTTGGGCGTGCACGCGTGTCTCCTTCCCCCTTTTTATAGTAATATTAAATTTCGTTATTTTATTTGGCCGACAGCAAGTCGCAAAATTTCGAGGCAGCGTCCGTCATTGTGCTGCGCTGTGCTGTGTCAAGTTTTCGACCTTTCCCCTGAAAGTGGCCAGCTAGCCAGCCCACCCACTCGGACAGCCTTTCTCAGCCAATCCTTTTGCTTTGCCTGCCTGCGTGACACGAATGTCATTCTCGTCAGCATCAGCCTTCCTCCTTCATCCGGCTTGACCATCTAGACCGCACCGCACGCCTGGCTCTACTCGCGACATCGTTCTTCACTGGCTGGCGACATAGAATCCATCACCAGGGCGTGCATGACCGGTGTCGCACATCATCTCGCTCGGATCCTGTAGACCCACGTCTCTCTCTTTCGCTTTCCTACCTCATCACCTCACGCTGCACCTCCGCCGCTTTAGAGCGAGCCGCACTTCCTATACACCTGACCTGTAACGTCAGCCAAGGCATCCGCCCAGGCTTCGACGCCAAGTCCCGACTAGGTCACCAAGGCGCCTGTTCACACGCCAACATCGATCCTTTCGACTCGACTGTACCATCTAGGACCGTCTTGATCACGACGCAGCTGTGACTTTCTCGGATCAGCTCACATCCCTCCCAGTCTCCACTTTTCCTCGCCCTCTATTCGAGCCTTTGCGAATTCTCGTAGGAACCGTCCCAGCTCAAGAGCGGCCGCAGCTCGTCTGCAGTTGGCTCTCACCCGATCCATACCATGTCGGCCGCCAATCCAGCAGCCGAGGAGGTTGACAAGCTCTCGCAGCTTCTCAACATCACGCCAGAGACCATCTTCTCCGTTCTCCGCGATAGGTTCTACTCTGGTCTGCCCTACACCGCCCTTTCCGACTCCATCCTCGTTTCGGTCAACCCGTACGCCTCTTCAGGAAACCGCAACAGCGATGACACCTTGCGCGAATACACAAGAGATCATCGCGAGACCAACAAGCAGCTACGTGGCGCCGCTTTGCCTCCGCATATCTTTGCTCACGCCTGCAATGCTTACTTCTACATGCGTCGCACCGGCCAAGACCAGAGCTTGCTCATGGCTGGTGATACCTCGAGCGGAAAGAGCGAGGTGCGTCGTCTCGCTATTCGTGCCCTCATCGATCTCAGCGTAGCTGCTCCAGGCAAAAAAGGCGCTAAGCTCGGCGTTCAAGTCCCATCCGCAGAATACATTCTGGAAGCTCTAGGCAACTCGCGAACTCTGGAAAACAGCAATGCCTCTCGCTTCGGCAAGTACACCGAGCTCCAGTTCTCCGACTCGGGCAAGCTTGTCGGCGCAAAGACCCTCGACTACTATCTCGAGAAGAACCGCGTCGTCAGCGCTGCTTCCAGCGAGCGCAACTTCCACGTCTTCCACTACATGGTCGCTGGTGCTTCGGACGAGGAAAAGCAGTACCTTGGCATCCACGACGCAGCTTCCTTCCGCTACCTCGGTCAAGCCTCTCACATCAGAGATGCCGACGATGCTGCCAAGTTCAACCGCCTCAAGCTTGCCTTTAAGAATGTTGGCTTCTCCAAACGTCACGTCGCCTCCATCTGCCAGGTGCTCGCTGCCATCCTCCATCTCGGCAACATCGAATTCCACTACGACAGTCACCGCACTCAGGATTCGGCAACGGTGCGCAACCCCGAGGTACTTGACAAGGTGGCCGAATACCTCGGCATCCCCTCCAAGTCGCTCGAGGAAGCGCTCACGTACAAGACCAAGCTCATCCGCAACGAAGTCTGCACCATTCTTCTCGACGCCGATGGAGCATCCGACCACCGTGACGACCTCGCCAAATCTCTCTATTCGCTCCTCTTCGCTTGGGTCAACGAGAGTCTCAACGAGAAGCTCTGTCGGGACGATTTCGACACCTTCATCGGCCTCCTCGGCCTTCCCGGCTTCCAGAACATGTCTAGGGGCAACTCGCTCGACCAGTTCTGCGTCAACTTTGCCTGCGAGAACCTGCACCGCTTCATGCTGCGCAGCGTCTTCGAAAAGCGACGCGACGAGTTCGCCGATGAGGCCATTGAACACCTTTCGCCCGAGATCCCCTACTTCGACAATGCCGAGACGTTGCGTCTCATGACCAACCAGCCCGGAGGCCTCATCCACATCATGGACGACCAAGCTCGAAGGATGCCCAAGAAGAGCGATCAGACCATGATCGAAGCCTTTGGCAAGCGATGGGGTAACC